ATCCAGGAAGGACATTCCTGTGCAACGGAGAGAGGACCAAATACCATTTGTAGGTGAAGTTATACACTGACTTACATAACAGGAATTGAAGAAGTTAAGCCAAACTACAGATGTTTGCACTTCACCCCTTCTGCCTGCCATGAGCAGTTGCTGTAATGGATTGAACAGGAACAGCTTTTTCCATGAGAATGATGTTTAACTGAAACACAAAGGATTCTCCAAATGTAGCCTTCTTGTTCTCGACAGGAAAGTCACTCAGTATTTCAGATGAACCAGAAACTTTCCTCTCCAAACAACAGATTTTCAAACTCAACCCTTTAGCTGATCCACAGTTCACAAAAGCAATGACACCCGTGTTGAACCATAAGATTATCACTGATATTTCAGTTTTGCAGATCCCCCGGAGTTTTTTTTTTTTGAACAATGACATGATTTTTTTTGAGGATTCTGTTTACAATTATAAAAGCTATACAAAAACACCTCGCATTCAATTATCATAACCACCATAGCTATCAAAGCTGAAAGCTAAGGCTTAGAAATACCAAGTATTTCTGAACTTGGAATAAAACATATTGGCAACAGATACAATTTACTAGTGGAAAAAAAAAAAACAAAAACAAAAAAAACCACCAACAAACCAACAGCAGGAACAGAACCTTTTACAAATATCAAGAGTCACATTTGGAAGACTGGGAAACTTAAAGCAGTCAGTTCAGTGGGAATCCAGGTCCCATTGTGGGACTTCTCTGAGCAGCCACTGAGACAACTGTGTGACACTGAGAAACCACTACAACCTTCATCTTCCTGCAGCCTCCTGCCCGTACACAGAGATAAGAAGTATTACCAGATGTAGAAGCAGTACAAGAAATACAAGGAGCTACTGGAGAGGGTTATGAGCTAAAGAGATGATGAGGAGTCTGGAATATCTCTCTGAGGAAAGACTGCAGGAGCCGGGCCTGGTTAGTCTGGAGAAAACCAAGAAGGATCTCATCAATGCATATAAATATCTCCAAGGGTTGCCAAGAGGATGGTGCCAGACTCTTTTCAGTGGTGCTCCCTGCGCCCCTCACACACGGGGCCGTGCCCACCTGTCAAACTGTGCCCAGAGAGGCTCTCCCGCACATCCATCCTCACCCTACAACACTGCACCCCTCTCCTCCGCCAACGCACGAGCCTTCCCCTAATTTTCAACACCGCTAAGGCAATATAACCACGGTAACACCGACACTCTTACACCAGCAGCACCCGCGGGCACAGGCGCCATGTTGAGTCCTGGCATCGCGCCGCCATCTTGGCGCTGCCCTCGCCCCGCCGGGGGGGCGGGCGGTTCGCGTGCCCGTCCCTTGCCCGCACTCAAAATGGCGGCGGGCGCGTCCGGCCCTCCCTGAGGCGGGATCTGTGTGAGGGCGCGGGAGCCGCAGCGGCCGCGGGTCCCTCAGAGCGCGGCCGGAGCCGGGCAGGTACCGCGGGCTCCGGGGGGGGGAGGGCAAGGGGGAAGGGGGGGGCCTCGGTTATGGGTGCGTGGGGGAAGAAAACCCGCGCGTTGGTTGGGTTTGGGTAGCGCTGGTCCCTGTGTGGGGAGGGTCCCCCCATGCCTCCCCCTCACGCTGTGGGTGGGGGGAGCAGGTGCAGGACTGGGAGGTAAAGAAAAATGAGCTCTGTAAAGAAAATTCGCCTGATGTGTGGCCCTGACCCGATGGCTATTGGCGGTGAAGCTTTCCAGGTCTCCTTTCGATGGCTTTTTCTGGGTCGCCCTCAGCCCAGGGCTTGGAGGAAGCGTATGAATGTTTATTTTGGTGCCGGAGATCGGTTTAATGGCAAACCCAACAAATTCAAGCAAAATTGAGGTTTTGAAATTGAATTGAAACAGCAGCCCCAAACCACCTCTTTGTCTGTAATCATAAAATTTTCATGGTTAAACTTTTGTATTTGCTTAAAGCCACGTTTATGATTTATTAATTAAATGTAAATGTAAGAAGCTGCTTTGGTGCTTTTTACCCCGTGGGGCCCCTCTCTTGCAAACAGCAACCTGTGAGAGACAATTCCATTGATGCTGAGTATCCAACATTAAGCCAAGACTCATTTGCACGGAAAATGAATGTGGTTAATGATTAACGACTTCGCTCAATGAATATGGGGGGGGAGATATCAAAGTTTGCATTAATGGATTTTCCTCATCTGAATTATAAATGGGGTGTAATATTTGTGAAATACGCCCGGATTTCTGCAGTGATCTCTGTGCATTTGATAACCTTTAGATATCTTTTAGGTTGCAGGCAGGAGGAGGCATTGTAAGTGCAGAGATATTTTCCGGTATGTTGAGAGCAACTCGCAGGAGTCATTTGAAAATTAAAATTTGATGCTTAACATCCGGAGGAGGTGGAAGCGCGTCTCAGGCATAAGTGGTTTTGCCTCTTTCGGTTTCAGATGCTCTCAGATGTGTTGCTAAGAGATTAAAATCAAAGGCATGGGTGCTTTTTGTTTAACTGAAAGGACTTGGCTAAATCCTCTCCCCTGGAGCTTTGTGTCCAAAGTAGAGCAGAACTGCAGGAGTGTCTTGTTGTATCCAGGGACAGCAGGATAACTCAAGGACTGAAAATCACATGCTTTTCTTTTGTGAGAACCTGGATATGCTTGGGCCTGCTCTCTACATGTTTCTCATGGTTATTGAAAACCTGCTGAATGCTGGCATTCTTCTGGCTAACAGCAGCTTCATGCCAACCTCCTGCAACTGGTTCTGGGGGACAGGCTGCCCGGGGAGATGGTGGAGTCACCACCCCTGGTGGGCCTGGTTTCGTGGTGGACTGGGCAGTGCTGGCTTAATGGTTGGTCTTCATGATCTTAAAGGTCTTTTCCAACCTAAATGACTCCATGATTTTATGCTCTAAGTAGCAAAAAATTAGTGAAAACGCTGCGTGGGATTGCCCAGCTCTGGTTTTAGTTAGTGCCTGCCTTTTTAATCTCCACTGTTAGTTTCTGCCTAGGCTGAAGGTGTGGTCTTGTTGAGGACAGACAGATACACTTGTTGTTGGAAGCTCCTGGTTTGTATTCTTGGGTTGGATTAGAAGAAGGGGATGTCATCTGGCATTATGGGACACTGGCACTGCCTGGCTGTGGCTGTGACCCCCTCCTGGTGTGTCCCCAGGGCTGAGAGATGTCAGAGGTGCAGGAGGCAGCACTGACCTGCCCCAGCTCCCAGACCAGTCCTTCACACAGTCCTTTCAGCTGACGGGGAAATTGCTGTCCAAGAACTTTCCATTGCTCTTGTTTTATTGGTTTGAGGGGCTGCATGAATTAGGAACAACATGGGTCCTGATTCTTGTTTTCCACACTTTTCTTCTGGAATCTGGCTGTGACAGAAAGGAAGTGACTCTTCCACCCAAAAGGAGAAGTTTCTCCAAGAGTTCAGATATTCTTGTTGTTGTTATGCAACTCTCCCTGTAACAGCTTTTCTTTGTGGTTGTTTAAAGTGTGCACGTTGCTCTTCCTGTGCCAAAAGACTGTTCTTCCCCTGGCCATCTTGTATAATGTAGATTAAGACTTGATAACTCTTGAAAAAGTGCTAGGAAGGGACAGGAGTGGAGTTTTCAGTGATTTAAAGTTACTTTTATTTTGTTTGTTTGTCCAGTGAGGTTTCATGAGTCACGCTGGGCTGCGGGGAGTTTCTTTGGAAGATGTACATGTCGGTTGAAAACCGCACGAGTTCCCACCTCCATCTGAAGAGGTCACCCGGCATCCGCTCCTGGTCCCTCTGTGTTGGTAAGACCACAGCGCTCCTCTGCTCATCTCGTCTCCTCTCCTCTTTCCAGAAGAGGAACGATCGTGCTTTGAACTCTCTCTTTAGCACAGCCACTTAGGTTGAAAAACATCTCAGTTTTCAGAAATGGAAAAGTGCAGCATGGCCGTGCTGGGGTTGGATCATGGGTTCATACACAGCATCGTTAAGAGTTCACCACCAACCAGAGGTTGGTGGTGAACTCTTAACGATGCTGTGTATGAAATGGGAAGTCATACAGGATGCTCTGAAAGGCACTTTTATAAACACTAATATACAGGAAAAATAAACTGCTTAGGGCTCTACTGAGGGAGCTGGTGGGGAAAATGTGACACATCCTGCTTTCCAGCTGAGTGACACCACGAGGTTGTCGTTGCTTTCAGTGATGCCGAGCCAAGATCTTTGCAGTTGCGGCCTCTGGGACACGAGGGACTCTTCAGCTGCTTCCCCCCTCCCTGGGAGAAAGGAGCTGGCAGCTTCTGACACAACTTAATTGCAGAAGTTTTCTTTTGGCTCCACGGGGCACTTAAAGGGACAAATAAGGGTTGCAGTGTGTGTATCAGCAGGCTCCAAGTTGTGCTGTGCTGAGAGGAAGTGTGGTGTAATGGTTACACTGAGTCCCTCCCAGGCTCTGGGCCCGGTTGTCTCACAGCATTTTTATTTCTGACTCAGCCCCTGTGCTTGTAGTGCCTTTGCAGAATGCAAGCTTTTTTTATACTGAGTTTAGAGAAAAAAAAATAACCAACTTTCGTGTATTTCAGTGATTTACGTTGCAGTCACATTTGTCCTTTTTTTGGAAAGTGTTTTTCATCAGGGAATTTTAGATTTTTTTTTTTTTTTCTAATTCTCCCCTCTTTCCTCCTAGGAATAGCCTCCATAGGTTTGGCTGCTGCTTATTACAGTGCAGGTAATGGCCTATCATTTTTTTGGAAGAATTATTTCTTTCCTGTTGATCTGTTTTTCATGCTGATGACTCCTGTGCAGCTTCTGCCTGGCCTTACACAGGCAGTGGAGGTACCTGTCCCACTTTGTGACGTGAATGTTATAATCAATACTAATTGTTGCCTGTATGACTTACTGGGCTTTAATGCTCTATTTCTTACTCAGCCTCCCTTTCCATTTACAAGGGTGTTTTTAATAATGCTATTTAGTACTGTGTGTGATTTGTAAATGTGGTTAGCTGGTCCTCACAGCTCTCCCGGGAAGAATCACACAGTGATTCTTTGCCCCCGTAATGAAATGATTCCTTTGCCTCTGACAGAAGTGCTCTGTTTCTCTGGAAACTGTCACATCGTCACTGGCATTGATTACTCAGACACCTTCAGAGCTCAGACAGCTCCTGCTGCTTCCCCCCCTGCAGCAGAGCAGACTGCACCAAATGCCAGCTCTCCTTCCGTCTCTGGGATTTCTCCTGGCAGCTGCCCTGTCATTCTCCTGCTGCATCCTGTTAACATCAAATTTTAAAACTTAATGGTGTGTAGGAACACGCTGCCAATGCAATCCATGTATTGTTAATGAACGAGCAGAATCCGGTGAAAGCTGCTTCAGCCACCAGCTAAAACAGCCTTGTTTATTTTAAGACACTGCAACCAAGTCTTCTGAAACCATCCTGAGCACGGTTCTACTCTGCCCTCGCATAAAAACCTGAGTAAGCAAACTGCTCAGGCTGCTGGATGTAAACATTTCCAGGACATAAAATGCAAATGTTTGTTTGTCAGGAGGGCCAACTGCTTCCTTTTGCTTCAGTGAATTCTCATTGTCCCTTACCCTTGTCCTCTGCAGCACAGATATTTGGTGGTTGGCAGTTCTGTGGATGCCTTTTAAGATGCCTTTGTTTTTAGGGAAGAGAAAGCTGCAGTGTTACAGCCTTGCCAATAATAACACATGCTTATAATTCTGTATGGTTTGAAGCCCAGTGTGAATGAAATCTCTGAAAAATGTGAAGAATTTCTCTGTTTTCATCCTGAGAGAGAGCTGTAGAAAAGCTTGTAGTACAACTAAAGGCAAAAATGTTCCACACGAGAAACCTTTTTTCCCTTCTATTGCCTTTAAAGGGAGCATGCTGCTGCTTTTAGAGCTGCTTGAATACCAAGGAAGAGGGAGAAAAAAGAGTTAAATTTGTGTGTTTTTTGCATTGTTCAGACAGCTTGGCATGGAAGCTCTTCTATATGGCTGGGTGTTTCTTTGTGGCAGCACAGAACCTGGAGCAGTGGGAGGTAAGATGCTGACCTCAGAAATGAGGTGGTGGGAGTAAGAAGCAGTTGGCAGATGCTGGTTCCAGCAGCCCCACACACTTGCTCAGTCCAAACAGACCAGTCTGCTTTTGGGGAAACCCTCTGGGGTTGCTGTACTGGGACTAGAATTAGGACAGTAATTCTTTGACTATTTAAACATGAAAACATGAAGCTAAACATGGGTATTTTTAAGGGGAGACTTGCCCCAAAATGTTTTGTGTCTTACATGAGAGAGTGAACGATCAGCACATTCAGCTGCCACCACATGATTTTGTACTTTCCCTTCCAGCCAATGGCAGAACATTAAATAGGGGACCCTCCAGGATGCTCAGCTGTTTTCCTCTGGGACAGGGATGGTGTAAGCTGGTTTATAATGACAGCAACAAGCCATTATATAGGATTGTCACCCTGCTGAGCTGAGTTGGATTAGAATGTGCAGCTCACACACAAGACATCCTCTCTTCATGGACTGTCAGGGATATTTGGGAGCTGGTGTAAGCCCGGCCCACAGAGCACAGCTCTGGAATGCCAAGTGCATACACCAGAATGAAAATTACAGGAGTTACAAGTTAGTGTTCACATTTGAGTCCAGGCAAAGTTTTTATGACACAAGGAATGTGGCAAGAGGGGCAAAGAACCCAGTTTTAACTCCCCTCTAGAAGTAACACAGGAGATGTGGTAAAGTCTTGTTAAAGCCAAGAGCAAGACTGTGATTTTCACAGTCTAATAAAAGAGGAATGTCTCTAAACTAACTGTATTTTTCTGTTTTACTGAGTTATTTTCCCACAGAACTATTTTTATTTTACATTGAAGCATAGCTATTGATGGTGTGTTGAAGAAAATCATGTTTTTTCTTTCTCAATTTTACAGGAAGCTGTATTTGATAAGAACAAGGGAACAGTCTGCCTAAAAACATTCAATCTGTACAAAAAAATACTGACCTTGTCCAAAGGAGGCCACGAACAAGGTGAGAAAGCAGCATCTGGTGGAAGATGTGAGCAGCAGAAGGAATGGATTTGTGCCCATTTCATGGCTTCTCTGGAGTTCTGTACTCCAATTAAGTTGCATCTGCTTCCAGATCTGCTTTGTTCCCAAGCAGCAGATGTAACAATCTGCCTCTCAAGGCCCAAATGCTTTTTGCATGTGCTGAATGCATCTTGTTAATTATTTTAATCCAAGGTAGCTGGGCTTGCACATTGTTTTCCAGAGCAATCTTAGCCATTCCTTTGGGATGCTAACATACAGGTTGACCTTTCCTTTGGCCACCCTGCTTGGCAGGTGGGACTGGTGGAAAAAAACTTAATTTTTGCATCCAGAAGTTGAGATTCTGTAATCTAATCTGCTTTTGGTAGCAGGCAAACATTTAGATCTATGCAAGCAGAAATGTTGCATCTTGCAGATATATAATATGCAATTAAAGCAGCTTATTCAGTGGGCTCAGTTTAATGCAGTACCCGATGTCTTTTGGGCTTGCTGTTGGATTAACAGAACCTGCAGGGTAGACAGGAGTTCTGTTGCAAACTGAAGAGGATCCTCTTCCTTGTCTGAGCTTTTATTCAAAGCAACTCTCAGTGTGCTTAGAAAACTGGCAACATTTGGAACGTCCTTAAGCTGACCTGGTTTTGAAGCCATTCCGTTTGGAGGTGGAAGATGAGAGATGTGGAGAGCAGGACATTTAATGTTTCTCAACTTCTCTTCAGGGGGTGTGAGCACATCTCTCCCTGAGAGGTTATTTTGTAATACTTGGTGATATAAACATTTCTTTTGGGTTCCATGAAGCAGGTCCCTCAGTGCTGAGGGTTCCGTCCCCGCTGACAGCCTGCCCTGTTCTCCACGTGTGTTTGCAGTGGTGGCTCTGCTGAGCGAGATCCGGGATGTGAACGTGGAGGAGGAGGCCGTGCGCTACTTTGGGAAGGGTTACCTGGTGGTGCTGCGCTTTGTCACCGGATTCTCCCACCCCCTGACCCAGAGTGCCGTGCTGGGCTGCAGAAGGTGCGCTGGGGACCTGTTAAATTACATTGAGGAAGGTGGGAAATGCCAGTCATTGAGACTGAGCTCAGCTTTCAGACTCGCTGCCGTGACCTTGTGTTACTCAGTTTGGAAACCTTTTAAACCTTAAAGGTTTTCCGTTGTGGATGTTTGGGTAACGCCATCTATCGGGATCATATTTAGATGTCTAAGGTCCCTTTAGTGCTGCTTGTCTGCTGGACTTGCCTTCCTCAGCTGTGCAACAGCAGAGGGGATTAATCCTGTTTTGCAAACATTCAATGTATTAACATTCAGTTAACAGGGGATTTGTTGTAAGCATTGGTAATAAGGACCCTGGCAGCAGGAGCTGGGGAAAGGATTGATTTGTTCTGATGTGGAAGTAATGGCTTGTTGTGGGATGCTGTCAATCCTGATCTGTATGTCTTACAGAGTAGTCCCTCCAAGCAGTTATTCCCAAGAATTAGTGTGCTTGTTCTTGTCCTGTCAGCACCACAGTTCCACTAACTCTTCCATTGTTTCTTCCTTCCCACAGTGATGTGGAAGCAGTTGCCAAACTCATCACTAGTTTTCTGGAGCTGCACAGAGTAGAAAGCCCACAAGATTTCTCTCAGAGCAGCGAAACAGAGGCGAGTGATGCAGATGAACCACAGGATAAATACTAATAGTCATCATGAGCTGCAGCAAGTAGAGGCTTTCACACATCTGGAAAACACTCTGCTTGTTCTGCAGAAAAAGAAATCCCTCACAACCTCGGCCTGGGCATTTCTCTACAATTTGCAATGGGAGGAATGTGTCTTAATGCACCTCATTTAGTGCTAAACTGCTTCGAGAGCCACGGTCCAAGAGTTGCTGTTGTAGAGTCCAAAGCAAATTCGGTTTCAGTTGCTCTTCTGCCTTAATTCCTGCACGTGGACACTGCTGGCTTCTGAACTTTGTCAGTTCACCACTGACAAACTTGTCTAGGAATAATTATTTATTGATGGATCGGTATGAAATAATTGCTTTCCCATTAGTGAAGCGGAGGTGCAGATGCAAAGAGCCTCTTACTGCAAACATCTGCTGCAGGTACAGTACATGAAGTGTAGAAGAGTTGGATTTGTAACTCCTGAAGCAATGCTTTGAGGTTTGACTTGAAATGTTATGACTGAATATATTGCTAAATCGGTTTTTAAGCAGCTTAATATATGCAATTAGTTAGGTGATGCAGAGTAGTGGCACTTTTATATTCTCTACTACTGACTTGCCATTAGATAACCATGGGAATTTAAGTCTGAGTACCTGTCTTGGAATTTGGAAGATCAGGTTGTTTAACCTGTAACATTGTTTGAACTTCCCTGGGACTGGCTGAGGAGCCATGAATAGCAAAGGGAAGAGTGATCATGCCGATGATTCACTGTCTTTGGGATGTTCTAGATTAACCCTCTTCTGCTTCCCTTCTGGGCATTCACTACCCCAGGACAGAATAACCTTTTCCTAGACCTCAATGTTTACTATTTTAACTGTGTGTTTAGAAAGGAAGCTAGGACAGACATCTCTTACTTTAGGTAGGTAAAAGTCTGATGTCAAACACCGTGGTAGCCTAGAGTTGTTTATTATTTCCTCACTTGAAATACCGAAGTGCTAAATAATAATTTTTTAAGATAGCTGGGATAGATTCCATGTTTGACTTGTACCATGTTTTACTCCAGGTCTGTAGTGTCCTCTGTTCTGACCAATGATTTCAGAAAGAGCTAAAATAATAACTTTTCAAGGTGTTTTTTGAAGTCAAAGCTACCTCTCTAAGCCATCATATTCTGTCTAGAAGTAAAACTCCATCATGTTAGCATCAACATGTCAGTACAAGAACAAAATTGTAAAGAGCTGAAAGTTCCTTCAACATGCTTGTACTGAAGCTCACTAGGTATTATTTAGGAATCTTAAGACCTGAATTAGAAAATGCTTACACAGCTAGTTGTGAGAAATGTGAACAGGGTACAAGGTAACTGTTGTCTGCTTTCACCACTGGCCAGCAGCAAATGTCTCCTGGCAGCAGTTCCTTCAGGACTTAAGAGCCTGTGTTTGAAGTTGCTCTACCTCAACAGGGAGGAGGCTCTGAAAAGCTTTCAGCAGAAGCCACGTCCTGCTGTGTCTTCCACAGAGCTGGAGCCGAGCACCTGCTGCTCTGACCAAACCCAGCTTGTACCAGGGTTTGCCTTCCAGCTGCTCAGCCCTGGGACGTGGCTGGGAGGCAAAGGCTCACAGTGCTGTCAGTGTGGAGGTAATCTCCCTGCAACAGGGAGATGTTTGCTTTAAACAGGAAAAGACGCTTGTAATCGCGTCAGGTACCAGTGCAGACCTCTGCCACTACGTGTTGGTGAAGTTCTCTGAGTCGATGGAACAATCATGTGGTTTTCAGTCCCTACCCCACATCACTACAGCTGGGAAGGTCCTGTGTGTGAATGGGAGAAAATGAGGCAATTAGCTCAATTTGGCCTTTATTCTGAAGCACAGCTGTAAGCTGAGCACAGTCATCAAACCTTAAATGTTGCAGGGTGTAAGACCTTGGAGAGTTCCTCATTTAAATCCATTGTAATTTATACCCCAAGTGGTGCTCATTTTAGAGAGAGGAGAATGAGATTGGGGATTTGGAGAACTCTTTCTTTCCCCACAGTTTAAAATGAGAATGGTGAGTGTTCTAAGGGCTTGCAGTAAGAAATACTGAAAAAAACCTGAAGTGTTTAACGGTACAGTGTAGGCACAGCCTGTGGTAGCTGCTGCTCTGTGTCAAGGACATGAAGAGGGCATTTGTGCTGAGCCCGTGGGTAAAACAGGAAGAACCACCTGCATTCAGTCACAGCTATACTGGGCTTCTTTTGTATTCCCACGGGAGCTGACATTCCATGGAAGATGGAAGCCTGTGCATCCAGCTTGCTGTGCATTCCTGCTGTCAGTGATGGATAGACTAATGGACTGTGCAGCATCTCACACAAAGACTGAAACAATGTATGGAAAATTGGAAATCCCCAGAAAGGGGAATGACCTCTAACAAGGTACAACCTGGCTGGAAGTACATCCTGTGGAGTAAGTTGCGTTTTGGGTTATGTCCAGTGATCACCTCACTGAAGGTGTTGTGTGGTGTCCCCCTCAGCCCTGTGTCCTGCTGTGGTGGCAGGAGAGGGGTGGCAGCTGCCACTGTGTGTCTGGGAGGGGGGTTTTGACTCCTCAACCTCTCAGAGCAGCTGAGCCATCCCCTCCTGTGCCATTTCCATTTGGCATTGGACAACTCTGCCACTGTACAAACAAGTACAGCTACACTGGGAACCTGAATTCCATAGTCTGACCTAAAGGGAAGCACTGAGGGAATTGTCTCTTCCTGTGGGTTCTGCCGGGTGTGTTTGGGCACTGCTGCCTGATACACCTGGGAACGTCCTGTTTCTCTTGGTCCACGTTTGCTTCCTGCCCTCAAAAACTTGATCTTTGGCAGCTGGAAGACATCACCCCACTTTGAGGTTTTGCAGTAACTGTGTGTGTGTAAATTTAACTTGCAAATGGCCTTAAAGGTGGGTTTGGTTGTGGCAGTGTCTGTGCCCTCCTCACTGATGTGGGGCAGCTTGAACTGTTGAGGACAGCAGGTGCTAACTCAGGACAGGTGCTGTTCTTCCCTCTTTGGACTGGTCCTCTCATCCTCCTCGTTTGCCACTTTTCACCGTTTTGCCAAAGGCTTTTTTGGATGGTTTTCCTCACTCCTCCTGGGCCCAGCAGATTGAAAGGCCCAGGAAATGTAGCCTTAGGTGTGCTTGGGGTGAAGTGGCTTGGACTCAAAGAATGATGTGAAAGACTGGTTTTGTTAGGAAATGAAGTCCTCTTGGGACAGTATTACAGGAAATGGAGTTGTCTTTTTTGCATATCAGGCCATCTACTGACTTGTGCCTGGACAGCTGTGCTTTATAGGACTTAGAAATTATTTAAAACCAGACCTTAGGTTAGACCTGACACCCTGCCCCATAAACCAACCCTGTCTGTCATGTCCTGTACCACGACTGTGCTGCAGGGACAAAACCAGAGTGCATGGAGTGCCTGCTGGCCAGAGAACGCTGCTTCAGGTAATAATCCAATAATCCAGTGTTGGGATGTTTCACAGGGAAGTAGGATCAGCTGTGCAAGTCTCAAAAAAAAAAAAACAAAACAAAGTATTTAAACTGTTTAGTTGATATCTGACTCTTGGGCTGTATTTATGAAGTTACAGGTACCAAAAACTCAGCTGGCTTAATAGTAAATAAAGAGTGCTAGTCCTGACACTGTCATAGATTGCTGAGAGGCAAAAATGCTTCTTGAAACTGTTCAGAAATTGCCTTTTTTTTCTTTTTTACTGTAAAATTGCAAGTAGAATTGCAGCAAGGCCTTGTTATACTGTCTTTTTTTTAAATAAGTGCATTGATAAAATCAAATTTGATAACTTGTTTTGCATCACTGTAGTATTTTGTATTGTTTTTAATTAAAATTATTAAAATATTAATGGCTGTCTAAATTAGTCCTTGACACAGACCTGCTGGAGGAGTTAATGGAGACCCAACTCTCCACTGGTGAATATATTTCCACCTTCCCTCCTTTAAACCAAACCAACATGCCACACACACAAAAAGCAGCACATTTCCAAAAACATTTTGAGTATCAAAGGATTTAATCAAGAAAAATAAGATCTTATTTAGTTCAAGGTATGTAACTCTTGTAAGTAAGGTATGCGCAGCAATGGCTTAGTTTTAGATAACAATCTGCATGTGGACCTGATCACCTCGTGCCTCTGCTGAGACCTGGCAGCACCTGCCAGGCCCTGCTAATCCCTGACCTCAGGCTAATCAAAGAAGCATTTAAGCCCCACACTTTATGTGTTTCAAAGACTGAAAAAATCCAGCCCCAAATGTGGAACAAACCCACTGCTCCTGCTGTGGAAGGACTGGTGATGGAACAGCAGGACACAGCACAGCTGACACCCGGAGGAGTGGCAGGACAGAACAAAAGGACCTAAAGCACAGTGTAAGTATCCTAAATGTTTCTTTTTATGAACATTGCAAAGGCTGGACATGTTGGGCACTGACTGGAGCAGAACTTGGAGAACTTCTCCAGGTACTGTTAAGTAAGAAAGTCTGTTGCTGCAAATACTGACTGGGTTTTTCTCCAGGGTGGTGACTCACTCCTGCCTTCTGTTCACCTGACTTACAGGGCAGGTGAATTAAGGCTCCGAGTGTGTTAAGACAGGAAGATTAAAATAGACTTGAAGTCTATTACACCAATAAATTCCTTCTTGCCCTCAGGTCACTGTTGTTTAATCACAGTTCAGCTCTCCAGATGACAAACCCCAGCTCCATGACTAGTTGCTGGTTTTCACTAGCCATGTTTTCCCATGGAATGAGACAGACTAATTGAAGTGCCCCTAATTTTGTGCTTTTATTGCTTCATCTAAATCATCCACCACTTGCTGCAGCTTCTGTAGGCTGGGGTGGACGTTCTCCTCCATCCACTCCTCTATGGCACACGGGTGGAAAACTTGCTCCATGGCTGCTTGGAGGTCCTGCACCACAGCATTCCACTTGGAGAGGAGGCTGAGCAGAAGGGAGAAGGAAGGAACAGGGACATTTGCAGGTGAGCTCTGCCTCAGGGGAGGGTTGGCTTACTGGCCTGAGGAAGGGAGTGCTGCCCTTGAAATAACTTTACAGGAAAAGAAGCATCTATTACAACAGCCCAAAGGACCTGATTTTGTTCAGATGGCAAAAGGGTGATGCTGTTTCTGTTTAAGTACCAATAATTCTGGCACTTTCCTCATGCAAGGACTTTTAAAGTACCAAGATGTGAGCTCAAACAACCACTATACACATTTTAAGTGTAACTGAAACCTGCTGTGAGACTTGTTGGGAATTTAATTCTGGGTTTTATCAGAGAGAGGAGATGCAGTTGTATATTCACCTTATCACAGAAAAAAAAAATAATAGCGTGAATTGGCAAAATGTGCAGGACAAGTTCAGAACAGCACGTGGTGACAGGGAGCAGGGTCTGGCTTTATTCCAGTCCCTGTCTGAAATCCTCCACCAAGACAAACCACTGCACAGCAGTAGACAAGGGAGAGGTTTGTGGAGACCAGTTTTGTACTTGTATTCAAAGAATTTATTCAACAGAAGGCAGGCAAACATGAAATTAGAATCCGAGAATGGTTTGAGTTGGGAGGGAACTCTGATCATCTAAATCCAACCCCAACATTTTCTGTTCAAAACCATATTATGAATACTTAATCTTGTTTGATTCCCACCAATTCTTCTGAGATAATTACAGAAAGAGGCAAGGACTCAAAACTCTGTAATTAGGTGCCCAAAATATGACAGACTGTTTCCCATGTGATGCAAACCAAGAGGTGTTACCTGACTGCATCTGGCTGGAAGAGGTGCATTATTACAGGGTGAATAATCTTCCTTTTCCTGTGGTAGGGGCTGAACCAGCCTGTGACATACCTGAGAATGGATATCAGTAGGAGCAGAGTTGGAAAGAGCAGTGATATCTGGGTTTGTGGGATGACAGGGAGGTGGGTAAGACTTCAGCTGAACTTCTGCACAGAGATAATGCTTTTATTTAAGTCTGTCTATCTTTGGAACTAGCATGTAAAACACTGTTCTTGGCAGATGATAAAACCTGATCATCTGCTGCAGTTTAAGCTTCATTTCGAGCTCCTTTTTTTGTAACTGCACCATTCAAAATTTTCATTTCAACTTTAAATAGCAGTAAAATGTAATTCAGGAATAGAACTAGATGTCTGAAATAAAGGCAGCACACAGCATTTAGGAATTCTGCTGAAGTATTTTAAATTGTCATCTAAATATGATGTTCTGCTAAGGTGCCACTGATGCCTGAAATGCAGAGCTTGATGTTTAAATCATTTTGGTGGAATTGTGCCCCACTTGGAGGTGATGCAGCTCCAACACTGGGGCAGCCAGGCAGGGAAGCAACAGAAACCTCAGTACCTGTTCCTTTCCAGAAGTTCATCCACTGATGACTTGAGGTAGAAACTCACTTCTGTCACAAGGGTGAGGATGTTGCTCCCAGGGAAGGTCCCCACACTCGTGCTGGACAAAAAGGATCCATTATTTTCTGAACTTACCACACAAGGAGAAGCACCTGAATTCTCCAGCTGGAATTTCACCTCATGTAAGTATCAATTTCCAGGTTAGACATTCCCAGGAGCTTCTCCACGTTTTCTTTAACCTTTTCAGAGTAGCCACCTGGCAGAAGACAGTGGAAATAAGGAAAAGGAGCCTGAGGGACGAAAATGTTCACACAGGAGGGTTTTTCTGGAGTTCTCTGCATTGGCTCAGCTGTTCTCCTTGGGTGGAGATTTTTTTTAAAAGGTAAAATGGGAATAGAAGAAGAAAAAAACACTTGTGGGTGGGAAGTGGAGCACATGGTCTTTCACACAGTTGTCTGGTAAAGCATTTGCCAGCTCTGAGCTTCCCATTCAGGATGCTGAATATTTCTAGTGCCTGAGTTTAAAATCAGTAGGCTGTGGGGCTTTGTTTTGAAAATGAGAAATGCAGCAAGACTAAAAACAAAACCCTTTCTGTTGGCAACTGCCTGTAAAGAAACCAGAAACTACAGGAAGTATTTTACCAGGCAGTGTCCTTCCTATATCCATTTTAAGAAAATTGATTCCTTGAAGCAACTTTTATACTTAAACAAGATCTAAATCTAAACTAAATTAATCTCATTTATATGTCACTATTGTTTCAAATCAGTTTAAAAAGCAATTCAGCTTCTTAAATTTATTTTTTATTATAAACATAAAGTTTCTCATCATTTGTGGGTTAGAACATAATACATGATGAGTATCCAATGGCTATTTTTAAATACTCAGGCCAAGAGCCTTCTCTGCTGCCATAACTGCAAACTGTAATTTACTGTTCATAATTCAGACCACCATCAGATACTCAAACCACCTCAAAACACAACAAGCCTGTGCCAACCTTAGGGCCAGGTCAGCTCCCTCTTGTGCAAGGCATTAGCTGAGAGAGAATAAAGTTGTCATTGTACCATTCTGTAGTGCCTGCAGACACACAGCCAGGGATGGAATTGCCACTGGGAGAAGCTCACACAGAACAGAGAAGTGATCATACCTGTGTCAAAAAAAAAAAATCCATTATTAGATATTTTACTGGTAGAACATACTAAACAAGTGGGAAGTTTTAATATTTCAATCCTTAAAATTAAAGAGCTTTAGAAACATCAGCTTCTGTCTCAGAGAAGGGACCTCCCATCTCTGAAACACAAAGTATTCCTGTCTTACTGATAAGAACAGATACAAACCAAATTACTTTCTCAAGGCAAATCAGAGACAGAAATTGGAATTCAGCTCTCTGGTATTCCCTTGCAAAGTTCCCTTCCACTTCCCCAGCCTCCCTGCAGCCCTTGGGGAGTTGTGGGGTGGGAGTTGCCTCCATGATCCCCCTGGAACCATTCCATGTTCTCACCTCTGCCAGCCCGTCAGGGCGATACCTTCCAGGACATCAGGGGGGGTCCTGCTGGCCACTTCCAGCCACTCCAGCTGGTTCTTCAGGTGGTGCCCAATCAGTGTGAGGGACTGATTCGCTCCTGTGGCTCCTTTAAAGGCACTTGCAAACCACACCTTGGAGAAGCCACATCTCCGATACTTCTCTATGAGCTGCACTGCAATGAGACACAAAGGGGCACTCACAGGATGAGCTTTCTACATTTTCAGCCCTGGCTGAAATGCTGGAGTAAAGAGAGACCAAGGTCCAGTTGAGGTTGGTGAGGTCCCAAGGATGGGACACCTGACACCTTCTCTGAGGGGCCTTTTTGTATTCAATTCCCTGGGATTGTTACAATGCCAAAGGAACCCTGGGCACGTAACAAGCCTGCACAACATCTCACAGCTCATTCTTCTTCCAACAAAGAAATATTTTCATGCATGTTAAATGCCTGATTGGAGCCTTTAGGAGTTTCCCTTTGAGCTCTGTAGATGTCTGAAGCCTTGAAGCTTCTTTTGCAGAGCTGCTCAGTACAGGGCTATCTGCTCCCACTGGTTTCAGGGTGAGGAGAGTTGATGTAACTGTGCTTGTGAAAAACCTCTCAATGCCCCATCAGTGTTGAAAAGAATTAAGCAGCAGACAATTCAAATCCTTCATATAAGAAACATAAATAGTACAAGGAAATTATTAATAGCAACTCTTCTATGAACTCAAACGGGCTGTGTTTATGCTATTAAAGCAATAAGAAGCAATTTAAAAAAACAGAATAGTTTGGTGTCCAACTTAGGTATGCTTTAATGACACAAATTTGCTTTGGCTCTTTTGCTTAAACAGCTCTTTGCTTTCCCCAGCTGAGCAGAGAAGCACCAACCTTTGCCCTCCACGTGCAGGTCGGCAGCGTAGTCCCAGATCATGAGCTGCACCAGCTGGGGGACCCCCGACTCTGCAAGGAACAGAGCTCTCCTAAGCAATGGAAAACAGCCAGGTAAAAGGCAGAACTAAGTACAGATTATTGGTGCAGTAGCACATGTGAGGTGGCTCTGAAAATGCTGGAACTCCATCTGTGCTCAGACCACTCAAATTTTAGCAGTGGTTTCATATTTTTCAACAAACAAGACTCGTGATGTCAAGGTCTTGGAGCTACACCCTGAGGTGTTCCCAGGGCTGCAGTTTCTCTCTGTGTTTGCACCACTGGGACCAGGTGCTGCACAGAGCAACAGCAAACACTGGAGGGTGGTGAGAGACACAGAGATTTAGACTTGGACCACAGGCTGTTTTATTTGAATGCGTTAAGAAAGCAGAATCAATGGCAACCACTGCACGACAAGCATTTTGTTTATGTGTTCAGACTTGCCCACAGTCACACAGAAAGTCTGTGACAGCCAAGGACTGAGTGTTTCTGTTCTCTGGTCAAACAGATATATCTCAGCTCTCCTTGTCTGCATTATTTTCAGTGCCAGCAAATCTGTTTTAACTGGCTGTGTAAACCTTTTTGTATGACACAAAACACGCCTCACCCCCATCCTTGGTCACACACCTGCCAGTGTTTCCTCACTCATGCCCCTGAGCATGTCGTCCCACACGATGGGAGTCACCCTGGGGTAAGATGAGGCCACACAACTGGCAACTGCCTTTATGTGGGCCAGGCACAGCTTCTCTGGGGTGTTGTGTGGCTGCTGCAGCCACTGCTTGGACTCCTCTCCCTCCCCGAGGTAGTAGACCTGAAACATCAACAAAGAATCCTGACTGCTTATGCAGAAAAAGAAAATGAGTTTGACCTGGTACCATTAAGTAACTTGGGGGCATGTCCAAGTGCAGTCCCCCCATACCTGCTCCATGCAGAGAGTGCATTCAGGCCTGTTAAGATGGATATGCATTTAAACTCTTTGCTGTTTTAGAGCAGGTTTTATCCACAACACATTTATTCTACATAAATAGCATTTTGCTCTGTAAAAGCTTGCAGCTCCTTGTCCAACCTTGACATCAGTTCTCACACAACAGGATACAAACCACTGACTTATACCAGTACAGTTAAGTGATCACAGTGAATCCCAGGGATCTGTGTACCATCAAGGATGGTTTTATGAAACTATGAGGCAGGAGAAAACTCAAGGTTCTGTTTCTCAAGGAGACAAACTCCCAAGATAAAAAAAATCCTTTCCTCCCACAAAAAGGCTTACTTTGAATAACTTGGCCAGAACAGTGAGACAACATTTTACATAAAACTCACATCCTTTGTACTAAACAGCTCCAGTGGATAATCTCACTTTAAATACTCATTTGACCTAAAGCCAAATGCTGAGTTAGACTTAAGGAGCTGCTTTCAATACTTTGATATTATACTCAGACTAAGAGGAATGACATCCCTTGTTACTGAAATCAATTAGTGTCAAAAAGGCTTTTCTATTCTGGCTTGAGTCGTGTTTTCTCTCCCCCAAATCCCACCCAAACTGAAATGCAGAGTCACAGAATCACAGAATGTTCTGAGCTGGAAGGGACCCGTGAGGGTCATAGAGTCCAACTCTTAAAGTGAATAGCCTGTGCAGGGTCTCAGCCCTTGCCATCACTCCTCAGAGGGAAAAATTCCCATCTCAAGGGAAGTCCCACCTCATCACATCCGATGTGGAGCCATTCCAGGCCCTCGTGCAGGGCCATGACCTGGTCAATCATGGCCTTGACCAGCGCCAGAGACTCCTCCTTGTGCGGGTTCAGGGCGTTGGGCAGCGCCGGCACCTCCCGCAGGTGGGAGAACTCCCTGTGCTTCAGCACAAACTGCAAGGGAAAGGAGAGCCTGGGGAGCAGCCATAGGACGAGGGACAGCGGTGTCCCCTGTCACCAGGGCTCTGAGAGCACGTCCCGCTAAAACTGAGAGTGGCTGGGAGTGAGCACCAGGACCAGCACAGGGTGGAACAGGCTGGGGGGACGTGGCTGTGCCCATGTTTCTGGGGGATCTGGGTGAAGGAGATGGTGCAGTGTGACCCTGATGCCAAATCCTACAGCTGGATAATGGAAACATTGGGATTTACATCAGAGATTTCCTAACACAGAATCACAGCATGGTTAAGGTTGGAAAGGACCACAGTGGGGCATCTGGTCCTGCCTCCCTGCTCAAGCAGGGACATCCCAGAGCAGATGGCACAGGATTGTGTCCAAATGGTTTTTGAATATCTGCAGTGAGGGAGACTTCACAGCCTCTCTGGGCAATCTGTCCCAGTGCTGGGTCACTGCACAGGGAAGTAGTTCTTCCCCATGTTCAGGTGAGGCTTCCTGTGTATCGGTTCCTGCCCGTTCCTCTTGTGCCATTGCTGGGACCCCGAGCAGAGCCAGGTCCATCCTCTGCCCCCTCCCTGCAGCCCCTGACACACACTGGGGAGGTCCCCTCTCAGTGGCTCCTCTGGCGGCTGAACAGCCCCAGCTGCCTCAGCCTTCCCTTGTCACAGAGATGCTCCATCCCTTCAGCATCTCTGCAACCTCCTCTGGATCTGCTGCAGCTGCTCCATGTCTCTCTTATGCTGAGGATCCCAGCACCGGACACAGCATTGCAGATGTGCCTCCCAGGGCTGAGCAGAGGGGACAGGATCCCTCCCTGACCTGCTGGCAGTGCTCCCTAACGCCCCCCAGGATCCCACTGTCCTCCTTGCCCCCCCAGGCACTGCCGGCTCAGCACACCCACCCTGCTCCCCCATCCCGGCCCTGCCTCGCTCACCTCCATGTGCCCGAAGCTCTGCACCAGCGGCACCACGTCCAGACCCTGCTCCCGCGCCCGGCTCAGCACAGCCCGCAGCTCCGCGGGGCTGGGGAGAGACTGTCAGTGCCCGGGGCACGGGGGGTACCAGGCAGGTGGTACCTGTGGGTTTGTGGCAGTACCTGTAGGCGTGCGGAGCCCGCAGCGGCTCCAGAGGCCCCGTGTATGGGAAGGTGTCCTCATATTCCAGCAGCAGCCCGGTGGCACCCAGGGCACGGAACAGCGGCAGCACCTGCGGGACGGGGTGAGTCCTGGTGTCCCCATCCCCTCCTCACCTGGGCCAAGTACATCCCTCACCTGCCCCAGGTACATCCCTTACCTGCGTCAGGCACATTCCTTACCTATGCCTGGTAAATTCTGCACCTGTCCCAAGTCTCACCCTCTCCAGGTCTCCCCCTCACCTGTTCCAGGTCCTTCCCTCACCTGTTCCAGGTACGGCGCGCGGGGCGCGGCGCCCTTCAGGTCCAGGTGCACCAGGCGACGCCGCATGCTCCGGCCTCGATTGCTTTGGGCTGTCGCCGCCGTGACCCGGCACACACCGCCCGCCCGCGTCCCGCCGCCCCGGCCCCGCTGTCCCGGCGCTGCCCGCCCGCGTCCCGCTGTCCCCCCGTCCCGGTTCCCCTCTGTCCCGGTTCCCCGCTGTCCCGCTGCCGCCCCTCCGCCGCTCCCGGCCCTGTGCCGGGCCCTCCCGCCCGGCCGAGGGCGCTCCCCAGGCAGGCCAGCCCAGGACGAGGCGCGCCGAGCGCATCGCTCGCGGCGGAGGAGGCGCGATGGCCCCGCAGCGCCGGGCGCTGCCCCGCGGCCCCGAGAGCGCCGGGACCGGGCCGGGAACGGCGGCGGGAACGGGAACGGGCCGCGGGGGCCGCCGGCACAGCAGGTACCGGCACGGGGGGGGCCTGGCCCGCACCTCCCGCCCGCTGCCCCGGGGGCGGCGGTGCCCAGGCCCGGCCGTGCCCGGGGGAGCTGCCGTGGGGGGCGGGCGGGGAGCGGGGCGCGATCGCGGGTGTTTGTAAATACCCGTGTGTGTTTGTGCTCAAAACCAGGGCCGGGCCCGCTCGGCCCGTCCCTCCCTTACCGTCCCGTGCTGTGCTCCCCCCGCAGCGCCAGGAAGGGCCGGTCCCGGCCGGAGCCGCGGGCATGGCGGGGGAAGGCGGCGATCCTGATCCTGATCCTCCTCCTCCTCGCGGCCGCCGCCGGCCTCGTGCTCTGGAGCCGCCTGCTCGCCCGGGATGGGCTCTCCGGGGATGGGATCCCCCAGGACGGGGTCACCGAGGTGCTGGCACATCGCGGCGACAGCCTGCGGGACAAGTTCGTGGAGATCCCCTGCTCGGAGGACTACGACAGCCACAGGCGGTTTGAAGGTATTTGAAGCTTGTCCCGCGTGGGGTGACTGTTCAGAGGGCCTTAACGCCTGAGTCTGTGAAACCAAACCCGTCTGCCGTGTTTCCAGCACACTCCTGGTCACTGAGTGTTGCTTAAAGCCCCAAAACCTCCACACCCCTTGGGCCAGCCCAGAAGTTGTTCTGAGAGGTTACTCTGTCAGTCCTGTGGAATTCTCTTCTGGTGCTGCTTTCTTGGCCTCTGTGAAATGAGTCTTTTGCTGAGCCCGTTTCCAGTTTCTTTTCACACTGTTGATTCCTGAAATAGGCTTTGGGGGTGGGTTTGTTGCTGGTCGGTACCATACTGGGTATGGAATGGAAATGGTTTAGGGCACTGTCTAATTATCACCACCAGCATGTGGTAATTGCACAAGTGCCAGTTTCTGACACGCTTGTTTTGGGATGTGCACGTGCTGATACCTTCTGCTGCTGCCTACAGAGCACTTCTCTGCCTTTATGTCCTTTAGCTGAGCCTGTTTTTTGTCATATTGGGATCTGTTTTCCCTGGCATTTATTTCTTTGGAGGGTTGATATTGGTACTTCAAGAAAAATGGAAGATTTCTATCGTCTCTGATGAAGAGCTGTCAGGAAGCCACCAGCAAGGACTTCCTTATTGGGGGGAATGGGGGGAGTTGACAGAGCACCTGAAAACACGCATTCTGTGTTAACTTGGCATAATTACTATGAGGAGAAACTGCTGCTGGCTTTATTTCATAGTGCAAGGCCAGAGAAAACTGCAGCTGGTGTTGCCACAGATTTGGTTATGGCTAAAACTCTCCATGTTCTCTTACTGGGGCTTTTGCTTATCAAAAGAAACCCCCAAAACCAACACAACCCTTATTTTTCCCTTTTCTGGTTTGCACGAGGAATTCTCTGAGCTGTGGACTTGTGGTCTTGGCCACCCCATCAGTTATTCTCACCATCCCAAGGAACTCCAGGGATATCTGTGCCCAGGAGGAGCAATGAATGTGTTCTCTATTTTTTTGGGGTGTCCCGAGGAGCAGCAGCGAGTCCTGAGTGCAGGGTGACCTCTTAGGTTTGTGGGGACGATTGATGATTGACCTGAGTTCAGCGGTGTTAGAAAGGCGGGAGCAGCTGTTAATTGGTTAATTGAAGCCGTGCTGTGCTAACGAGCCCTGCACTTGGCTTTTCCCCCACGCGAGGGGGGTGATGAGCTGTGACAGAGCTGAGCTGTGTTACCGACAGCGGAGCCAGGCACGGAACGCGAGCTGTGGTCACGGCCAAACTGCATCCAGCTCGGGAGCTCTGGCCACTTTGGGAACGGGTTCCTGTCGCTCAGTAGCTCCTCATTCCCAGCCTGTCCCCTGCCCTGACACCCACAGCTGTGTCAGCAGGAGGCACATTCCTCTCATCACTTGCTGTCTGATGCTGAGCTGGGAAGTTTCACAGCTCAGATGAGCTTTTTTATTGATTCATGCACTTGCCCCCTGCTTCCAACTGAACTGGTGTAGCTGAGCTTCCAGTTTGCTTCAGGTGATGTGGTAGCTGGTGACAGAGCAGGTTTTACTTGCACAGCACTGAAATGATGGTGTTTGCAGAAGGAAGGGGGTTGTGTGAGCACAGTCTCATCTGCACTCTGGGTGCTGTGGGCAGATCTTGGCCATTTCTGCTGCCTTGGGACATGGTTAACTACTTCAAAACTGCTGTGGCTACGGGTGTGTCTGATGGAACTCGTGCATGGGAGACAATATTAAGATGCTTTTTCCAGAGGTGAGGTCAGTGGATGTGGAAAGCAGAGAAGCCTGTGAGGAAAGTGGAGGAAAAGGTCTGACACGGAGACTGTTCCAGGGGCTGGCCCACAGGAGACACACCTGGGCTATATCCAGTAAGATGGAGTGGAAATTCCTCCAAAGCACTTGTGCTGTGGCAAAACTTCTCCTTCTGCCAGCCTGGTGATTGTTATTATTTGCTTTTGATCAGAGCAACTGATCTTTTGAGCTGCAGGGGTGAATTGATTGATTTATCTGCAGGAGTTTTGTGTTCTGAGGGGCAGACAATCCTTGAAGAGACACTCAGTGCAGGAGCAGCACATGTATTGGCAGGTGCCAGGAAATGCTCCCAGCCCAGCTCTTCTGTGCCATTACATCTGTATGTGGATCTTTCCCAGAAAACTGCCGAGTGGGACATCCCAAGGCCTCTGGTGGCTCAGAATTGATCTTATTTCTTCTTTTCTTCTTCTTGCCTGAAGACTGTTGTGGGCCAGACTTCTCATTCCAAAGAACTTTCATCTGTTCTTCCCCTGGAACTCTTACTGCTGGCTCTTCATTCCCAGGGGCTTTTAAAATTTAATGTTGGATTTCTTAGCAAGGAATTTATTTTTTTTAAATCAAATCTATCCAAGCTGTGTGCTTCAAGACACTTGTGTGCAAAGTCTCCTTATAAAAACCTGCCCTGCAGGCGGTTGAAGTGGTTTCAGTGGCTTTTTTTTCTCTTGCTCTTTTGTGTTGCAGGGTGCACTCCCAGGAGGTGTGGAAGGGGTGTGAGTGATGCCATAATCACGAGGGAAGAAGCTGAAAGAATCCGTGGGTAATTCCTCTTTTAGCTCCAGCTTTTCCAAGCACTTCCTTTAATGACACTGTGCCAATCTTTGAGGTGCAGCACAAAGCTCAATAGTTTCAGCAGGGTGGGTTAAACTGGTTAAAACACTAAATTTGGGGGGTTTAAAGCCATTTTGCATTTTTGCTGTAGTGAGGGCAGTCCTTTCACAGTCTCTGAGGGGCAGGAGTGCCTCACTGAGAAAAAGGAAATGGAATTAAATAAGTTTTAAGGGATTTTCATCTTCCCTCCTGTTTCATTTGGCCTTTAAAAGCAGAACAAAACACCAGAAGTCTCCTTCCAGCAGAGTCTCTCAGGGGAATTATGAACTGGTGCTGACTTTTTAGTCCTCTGTGAGCACTACCTGGTGTGTTTTAATCAAATAGTAGGAGTCAAATTGTGCAGTTTCCAAAGTTATCAGCCTCCCTGAGTGGGATTTTCACTTGATAATCGAGTGAGTGGGGAGTGTCAGTAGTGCCTGAAGGGATGTGCAGCTCCTGAGTGCTTTCTTCCCTCTGTGATTCGATTCACTTGGGCTCCTGATTGGGATTTTCTGCACTGCACAGGTTTATCTGTACTGCCCCCAAGAATAAAGATCTGGGTTTTTTTTATGGTTAACTTCACTTGGCCAGAAGGTATTTTAAAGATAATATTTTTGGGGGTATTTTGGGCGTTTATGGGAGGGAGCTGCAAGCTCAGAAATCTTCTGCAAAACAAATACTTTAGTTCATACTCGGGCTGCAAGATCCAATTTCAAATAAATGGGAGCTTCTGTTAACTCACTTGAGGGGTTACAGCTTGTAAATAAGGATTAAAGGACAAAGTAATCAGCCTTCAGTTCTCATCTGAGATTATTGTTTTGCCTGCAGAATAGCAGAGAGGGGACTGTCCTTGGGAGGATCTGATGGAGGGGTGAGCAGTGTCCTGTTACTTTCTACATTCTTTTACTGCCAAGGCAAGATTATAAATGCATTTTCTGGGGGTCGAGGAGATGGAGAATTCTTTCCTTCTGTTCAAACTTGGGAAAAAAAATTTGTTTGGAAAGTTATCTCCCATTAAATACCTCTGTTAGCAGTTGCCCTTTCCTTGAATTCAGGTTAGTTATTTCCAGCACCTCCCCTGAACTGATTTTCTCTTCCTCTGCAAACAGTTACTGTAGCAGAAGTGCAATGGTTTGACTTGTGACACTAAATTACAGTGGTTCACGGATTGGGTTTGTGTAGTGACAAAAAAGCCATGTAATGTCTTAAGTAGACCTTGGAATAATATTCTTTAAAATGAGACCAATCCCACTTATCTTTAATAAGCACACTTATTTTCATTTCTTTACCCTGCCTTTGTTCTCAGAATGTTTTTGTGTACGAACAGAAACTGGTTTTTGGGTATTTGCAAACACAGGCACTTCTTTAAGCCCCTGCTGAGTTGGGGCATGTGTTAGCAGAAAAGGAAAAGGGTTTCAGTGGAGAAAAATAAGACTTTACTGTCCTTGTGATTGCTGAGAAAGACCTGTAAAATAACATAAACCAAGAAACTGAAGCAGCGCTGCCCATCTCAAACAAGATGTTTAAAAGATTTAACCCTCTGTGGTCAGCTCTGTTGGGATCCCTTGGGTTTTTTCCAGTTCTGTGGTTGCACAATTTGCCACTTTGCCTGTTGGGACCCCCAGCTTGGCTCCTGCCATCAGTGGGTTTCCTCTCATGTGCTTTTGGGGCCCTTCATGTGATTTTTCATTGCACTTCCACAAAGAGTGTATAGGTATAACCCAGACAGCCTCATGGATTTGGATCACAGAAAGTGTTGTCCAGCTGGGGGTCAGGGAACTGGGAAAACTGAGGCAGGGAAAGGTTGGAAAATACGTGAGGGGGAGTTCAACTTATTGCCCCAAAGCACAGAGCTGGGCAGGGGTGCCGAGCTGGCTTTGCTGGACAGCAAGCCAGAGCATCAGACAGATACAAATCCATCATCAATGTTATTTTGGAAGCATCACTGAGAGGTTTTTTAAGAGAGGAGGGAAGTGAGGGAGAGTGGGAGATGATGCTATCACTGCAATAACATAAATCTGCTGAGAATCTGATGTGCATGGAGAGGTCTGGGCTCTGAGCCAACCCTTCTGACAGGGCTCATCCCCTGTAAATGGGAGGAGGTTGTTGTGTGCTGTTAATCCTTAGGGGAAGGAACAAAGTTGTGTAGTGTTACATCAGGAGCTTACCCGAAATAGTGGATAAACACTGGAAGATGTTAAACACAAGAGCTGGACAGTGTTCCTGGGAGATCATGGAATCACAGGATGGTTTGGGTTGGAAAGGGCCTTAAAGCCCACCCAGTCCCACCCCCTGCCATGGGCAGGGACACCTTCCTGCTCCAAGCCCCATCCTACCTGGCCTTGGACACTTCCAGGGATGGGGCAGCCACAGCTTCTCTGGGCAACCTGTGCCAGAGCCTCACCACCCTCCCAGGGTGAGAATCATCTTCAGGAGAAGCCTTTAAACACAGTCTCTTCACCTGGTTTCTGTTATACCTCTTTCTCCTGCTGTGCCATTTCCCTCTCTCTTTTCCAGTGTTCCAGTTTGTATTCCCCAGCTCATGGGGTGAATCTTTTCCCCACGGTGCTGTCTTGGCTCTCAGGTGTCATTGGATCCTGCTGGGTGTGTGCTGAGGGAGTTTAGATGAAACTGCCTTTCTTCATTTGAGCCTTTCATCTTTTCCAGTCTCTTACCTGCATAGCATACAAAATGTTTTATTTCATCCAGCAGCTGGGTCTGTCTGCTCTCAAGCTTCAAGCCACTTGGATTAGGTCTGGCTTGTTGCTTTAATTTAGAGTGCCTGGATAATTCTGTCCAATTATGCCTGTTGTTCTAAGACTATATTTTTTCTTTTAAAGTACCCTAAATAACTCCTTGTTGCTGTTTAATTATTTTTTTATTCTTTCTTTAGCCACTTTGATCTCTCCACTGTTCCAAATAAAATTTCTACTGGGGTGCAGACTGCATTTTCATCCCCTTGGATTTCTTCTTTTTGAAACAACATATCTGTTTGGGGTTTTTTTTTGGTCTGTCACACTTGTTATGTTTTGAATTCCCAGAAGTGTGTTTGTGTCTGTGTGTCTGGATATCATTTATTAATTTAAAGACCTAAACTTGCAGTTTGTGGCTGTCAGTTCTCTCCTCCCTTTCTTGGCTGCCCTTCCCTGGAGTGCTGAAGCACAGCACAAAAACTTGTTTCCCATTCCATCTTTTTACGTTGACAAACACCTGAATTATTGAGGCCTCCCAGGAGCCACGTCCCCCTTGTCATGCTGAGCTCTCTGATCTTCCTTTCCTAATTTTTCCTGGATTTATTTTTATTTACACATATGCAGCAAGGCTGGAGAGGGCCATGATAATCTTCTGGTCTGACTTGCAACAGAATCCAAACAGGAGTATCTTCTCCACCACTTACCTGCTTTCCCTTGTGCATCTGTCTCCTGCAGTTGTTTTATATTGTTCCTTACTCACAGAACGTGAATTCCATTGTTCTCTTGATCTTTGCCTCGGCTTAGTTTTTTAATTCTTCATATCAATGAAGACATTTCCCTCTTCAACCTCCTGTGATTTTCTTACTCTTTCCCTGCACACCCCCTGCCTGTGTTACCCCTCCAGTCCTGACTCCTTCCTTCAAGTCCTTGGAGGTCCCTTTGCGCCTTCGAGGTGCAAATGATACAACTCATTTACCATCAGACCTACTGGCATTTATTTGGAAGCCCCAGGGAAGAAATGCCTTGGTGAGCCACTCAGCTGCAGTGCAGGAGGGCTGGCAGGAGTGGCCATGCAGCCCTCCCTCTGCAGGGGTGAATTAATTGATTAACACTGGGGGTAGCTGTGATGCCAGCCCTCCCAGCCCAGCTCTGGGGTGCTCAGAACGCTGCCAGCTGTGCCCTTTCCAGGGGCACACAAAACCTCTCAGATCCTGGCTGGTACCTCCACAGGCTGAGGAGTTTTCCTCCTTCCCAGTTAACCTCCCGATAGCCCTTAGGAAACCCCTGCTTGGGAGGAGGGAAAGACCTACTTGGCAGCCTCTTTGCCTCCCTCCCTCCCAGCTGTGTGCTGGTGGGATTGTCTGGGCTGAGCTCCAGGAGGCTGGGGGGGAACTGGTTGTGTCCAGTCTGTATCTGCTGTAAATTTGTCCTGGGCTCTGTAGCCAAATATTGCATTTACCTCCCATAATAAGCTGTCCCTCCAGCGGTCTGACTGATGTGTAAGTCACACTTGTGTCTCTTAATTAATCCTAATTAATCTAAGAGGCATTGCCTTGAGACCACACCCCTGGTGTGTCTGCTCCTGACAGGGGTCCGTGCAGGTGGGATTGTTTGGGGAGTCTGTGCGAGGCTCCCTGCGGTGACACCGACTTTGGTGCTGCCCAGGAGTTCAGGTGGAACCTCCACTGCTCCTCCTTCTCAGCTGGAGTGTGTCAGCGTTCCCTCAGCAGCAGTGGGGGAGGTTCTGAGTGCTGCCAGCTCCTCTGTAGACAGTTAAAAGCAAGTTTTTTGCATTCTTGTCATTTGGGTGGCGTGTCTGCTGTCTGCTTTACAAGTATCACTGAAAACCTTTTATGGGCTGGAGGGATTGGTGTAGATGTGAATAGGTATTTATTGTTTGGCAATCCCTTCTAGGGAGGAACAAAGGCAGGGCCTGTCACGCTTCCCAAGATGGGACAATTGATCCTTTTTGCCATATGCTGAGAAGTGCTGGGGACTTGTATGTTCTTTTTGAATCCTTTTAGCAGTGAGAGGGGTGGAGAGTATGGGACTAACGACCCTGAAGGTTTGAAAGAACACCTATTAGTGCTTTTTATTTTTTGGAGGAAGTTTTATTTCCCTTCTATACAAAGTTCTGAAAACCAGGACATGGGGGTAGTTCTGTCAAAAACAGCCTCTCAAAATAGGGTTGTGGGTGTGTGTTTGCCATCTCTGTAGAGCTTTCAGGCTGGGAACACTGCCCTGAGCTGCAGGCTGAGCTTGGCTCAGATAGCTGGGCATGAAGTAACCAAGGTTTTCTTCTCAGTGTCAGAAATTATGCTGAAAATGTTTAATTTTCTGAAATGGCAGAGGCCAAAATAAATGTGTTTTGGTTTCTTTCCCTGGTAGCTGTTAAACAACTAGTTCTGTGCTCACCTGTAAACAAGTCCCTGTCTGGCATTAAGTTGTTTCCCTCCTGTCTGAAACAACCCCAAAGAATGTTCTTAATTTCTCAGATTCCCTTTTCAGTCTTCATCTGGCTTTTCTAGGCTTTATATTATAGTTATGACCTGTTCAGTTATGAATACCTGCAATTCTTGGGGGTGTCTTTTATTGATTCACTTGGTTATTTTGGACCTCCCTATCTGTAACCATCTGAGAAGAAATGTCTGAGTTTGAAAAGGACGTGGAAAGAGTTAGAAAGGCAATTTGGTTTTAAATTAAATTCATCTTTTCACCCATCTCTTGCTACTTCTTATAATCTGCTGTCCCTTGCAAAAAGGAGATGTCAGTGGTGTTCCCCTGATTCAACTCAGGAGCTCAGAGCAACTGAGGCTGCAGAGATTTTTCTGAGGGACCGTTAAGAGTGTTTTCATCCATCACAAATGCTATTACTGCTGGGATTTTGTTAGAATAATGTGAATGGTATTTGGTGCATCAAAAAAAAATGCCACATTCCAAGATGAGTGCTTTTGCCTGGATATTGTGTATCAAAGATGTGATTACTTTGGGGTCAGGCAGGTTAATTAACTGTTGCTATTTGATTTTTCTAGTAAAAAAAAAAAAGGCTGCCATTAAACAATCATATTTTTAAATACTGTTTACCTGATGCAAAACAAACATGTATTTTGTGGACAGCAAAGGACATACAAAAGTGTACTTTATTCAGTATAGAGAAATATTTTAGAGTCCTGAGGGGTGGCTCTCCATCCTGGCAGATCTGAATACAAATCTTTTTAGCTTGTCTGGAGCTCAGCAAAAGAGTTTGGCTGGAAGTGGATGAAGAAATGGATTGAATTTTCATATGTAAAAACTTTTCACTGTGTGGTTTTCTCTTACAGCTGTTTAGAAATTGAGGAAAAGAGAGTTTGACTCTAGTAAGCCTAAGAATTCTAATTGTTCTTTTAAACAGCCTTTTTAATGTCTACATTAAATATGAGGAGTATACAGGAACTCAGGGTGAAGGTGAAGTTTTAATAACAAATGCTGGGCAAGATAAATATTAGTGCTGCTACTTGAGCACTTCACAAATATTGGAAAATTAGTCATCCTTGTGTGGAAGGGAAATGTCTTCAAGAAGGAATCCTGGAACACAGAATTTTTACCCCCAGCCCATGGCAGTTCCCTGTCAGGTGGAATCTCAGGAATAGCAGTCCTGTGCTTTTTTCACAGTACCTGAATGTTCTCTGCATCCATACAGTGATCTGAGAGAGGTCTGCAGTTTGTAAAGTAAACATTATATTGGGAACCCAAATGCTAGAAATTCATATTTTCACTTGGGGAGGCTGTGGGAAATAAGAGCCAACTCGGGCCAGTTATTAAAGGTCATGGTTAAATAACGATAAAACCTTTTCACGCTCATTTTTCCTCCTGTTTCCTTTGCCAGGCATCCATTTTGGACTTGCACTCCGGAGCTCTTTCCCTGGGGAAGCATTTTGTTAATCTGTACAGGTAAAGTGGGGCTGTTGTTTCCTGCCTCTTGTCATCCCACACCTTCCCTGCCCACTCCCTCTTCCAGTTTCTCAAACCCCGTGGGCTGGGATTGGGGATGAGAAACTGTGGAATTTGCTTGGATTCACCACGCTATCCAGGACCGGTTAAAGAGCTTTTGTGGCATGAAAAGGGATCTTTTGTTGAGCTGGGCTCTTTGAAAGCTGCCATTATCTTTATTTGGATGTTCTGGCACCAGGAGATCAGAGTATTTTTTCCACAGTTACAGTCTAGTTTGTCAGCAGGGGAAGAAATCAAGTAGGCTGAACTCTTTAAAAATTCGAATCCATGTGCTTATTTTGTGATTTGGGAGGGGACTTTTTTTAATGCCTGGGGAATTCCATTACCAGCCACAGCAATTTGATCCTTTATTCTTCCAGCATTTAATCTTTTAGCAATTCTTTTGCACATCACGCTCAAAAGCATCTGTAGGAATTTTTTATGTTGTGTTTTCCCTCTCTGATTGTGAGCGAAGCACAGGTGGGGGTGAGGAGGCATCTTGGTGTTACTCAGGGATTCTGATTCAGCAACTCCCCTTTTAACCTGTTGTTTCACTTTTCAGGTACTTTGGGGACAAAATTCACGACATCTTCACAGAAGAGGATTTTGCCTTGTACCGGTAAAGGTTTCCAGTAACTCCTGAACGAACCACAAACCAGAACTTCATATTTTTGGGGGGTTTTTTTAGGGTGCAGGTTGGGAGGGGATTATCCTTTGCATTTATACATCTACTCAGAATAATAATCTCTGAGCAATAAGATGGCTTGAGGAAGAGAAATAAGAGGACCTTTTGGTGACTGCTTTGATCGACACCATCAGCTGCTCTGAGCAGGGCAGGGCAGGGCAGTTCTGGTGGTGTCAGTGGGATCACACATTTATTTCCCTTCCTGCCCAGGGGGTTGATGCAGCCCTGTGAGCCAGGGGAGCTGCTTTATTCTGAGGTCTGAGGTGATTTGCTGCAACGCTGTAGCCGGGATGTAAAATCCTCCCTCCTGAACTCCTGTTTCTTGTGTTAGAGGATGGAGATAATCCTGTGCCATTATGACATCAGGAACGTGGGGTTTTGGGGGGTGAAGTGTAGAAAAACATTAATAACGGTAAAGCAGGATTTATTATTATTAAATTACTGATGTTGTGGCTGGAGAAGTAGTGAATAATCCCCCTCCCAAGCAGCTCTGCAATAGTTTTTTTGTGTGTGTGTGTCTTTTTTTACTTGCCTTTGTGAAGGAATCTGACCTCCCTCTAGTGGTGGAAGGAGTTTTAAGTAGTCAAGTAGGTTTATTAGTTTTATTAAAATAGTCATTTATATTATGCTGAAATATTAATCACTTAAAGCCTATTTCTATTCAGTAACTGTTTCTAGATACCATTGTCCTTACAGATAAACTTCTTTAAAAAGTGTTTACTTCTGATCCCAAAATGGCAAAAATTAGATGGTTCCTTGATTATTACATAAAGAAAATATATCATTTGTATTTCACATGAACAGAATCATTCCATTTTTCAATAATCTAATGAATTTCTGCTGTGAGAAGAGACAACTGCTTGGGAATATCAGTATTCCACTGGGATTTCATGCCATATAGGGGATGTTTCAGTCTGCTGGATATGAGGTTAATACAGAATCTATTATTAAATGTTTCTGTTCATATCAGTGGCAGTGCTTTACCATGGATTGTAGTACTTTATGGCCTTAATGAACGATTTTATGCTGTTCTCAGGAGCATTTATCTTCATTACTTTCCCTTACCTGCCAAGGTCAGTTTAAAAATACACTCTTGAGAGAAATAACCGAATGTAATTTGTGTCTAAGCATTACTGATTGCAACAATAACGGATCTGAGTAGGCATCCTGAGCCAGGGGGATGGTTTCTAAACTGTCTCTGTCAAAATTATGTTGCTTCAGAATCAATTATGCTTTCTAGGCTGCTGCTTTAATCACCATCTGCCGAGCACATGACAGCAGTTCCTCTTCCTCCACACTAGAGATGCATCTTTATCCAAAAGGGAGACCTTTAAATCAGGATGTTTGGTGGGAGGGTTGACTCTGAGCAGCAAACAGCACTATCCAAGATTTATCCTGAAAACCTCCCAGCTTATTAAGGGACAGAGACCCAGAGCAGGGGGAGAGCTGATGGTTTGCTCTCTGTGTGTTGTGTTTGTGTTCAGGCTCCCTGGCTGGGAGATCCTGGCCTTGTGTGCTCCAGCTGCCTCTGGGGCTGTTCCCTGGGGAGCAGGGGTGCTGACAGGTGGGATAACAGGGAAGTTGTGTAGGATTGAACTTGCAGTGTTCTTGGATCGCGCTCTGCAGTGGCTCCCACCTGCATTTTTTGCTGCTCTGGGCAGAGCTCTGTCCTACAGAGACTGTTCTGGCCTCTTCTAGTCCTTTTTGCTGCTGCTGCATTAAACCGGCGATTTTCCAATCTAGTGAACTTCCCTTCTCTGAAGTTTTATGTTCCTTGGACTTCCAGCTACTTCATTGGCTTGTTTGATTTTCTGCCTCATCCCCCTAACTCCAAAACAGATCTCAGGAACTGTTTTTACAGAATATGCTGGTCCTGTGCTCTTCTCATGGAGGTCTGTTCTGCCTCTCCCTCAGTCTGGCCTGTGCATTTTGATATTTTCCAGTGTCTCAGTGCCAGTGGGCAAGGCCTGCTGCTGACAGATTTGGGGAGGGGTTAATTTGTTGCTGATATTTCAGACTGGGTGCTGTAGTTGTGCATTTATTTGATGACAGGCAGAGAGCTCTGTTAGTGCATCTGCTCAGAGCTGGGTACTCCCTGAGCAGCCTGAATGGGCAAGAATTGCTGTGTTTATGGAAGTAAATGCTTATATTCTCCAGCATAAAGAAGTTTTCTCCTTGCAGCCAGAGCACACCAGAACTCCCCCAACAGTTTTTCATCTCTGGGGGACACAGAGGAGAAAGGATAAGGAGTCAGTGGGTCAGGATCAAGAAGGAAGGGGAGGCTCCATGAGGGAACAGCGAGGCTCTCGCTGTTCCAGATCCAAGGGAGCCAAAGTTCCTGGGCTTATTCACTCCTTCCTTGACAGCACCTTTTAAGCTGACATTTGGTTTATATTGTCACTTGATTTACACATGAAGTACACCGAGTTTGTCCTTAAGTGTTTTGCCAATATCCCACATAGGCTGTGTCTGGAAGAGCAGGGAAGGGAATGGACTGAAAAACTTGCAGTTGTGATATTGCTAAATGTTGGAATGGCCAGGTCAGTGGAAAATGGGCTGTGCAGAAGAGTTTTCATAGGCTAAGAAGTGACTGTGTTCCCCTTAAGTGATTTTATTCTGCTTTTCAAAATAGCTACGTGCTGTATTCTGGGAGAAAACAACCCAAAGGTTTAAGGAACAGGATCAAATCTTGAACCCCGGTGTTTTCATTTCATAACATTGTGTCATTGCATTCTTTGCTGGTTTTTAAATCTCCTCAGAGCTGACATGCCAGCTGAGTGTGTTCACTGGGATTTGCCAGTGGTACTCCTCATTAAGCACAAATATCTTCTTTTTAAAGTGCTGGGCACTGAACCAAGAGGGGCAGTTGTAGATGGCCCTGACCTGCCAGAGGGATGGTTCTGGAGAATCAGCTCTGGACAACATCACACATGTGACCGTTAGTTTTCTATTTTGATAACCTTAAAAGCCTTGAAAGAAAATAAAAGCCCTGTCCTGTTCTTTCTTGCCTCCCAAGAAACACAGGAAAGTAGCCAAGGTAGAAACAGTTTGTCTGATCTTTGAAAATAATTGGGAAAAACATCTTGCATTCATTTTGAAAGGAAGGCTGGTAACAATACTGATATATATGTTGATCAAGAACCCTGAGTTTCATGGTGCCACCATCAGGGGGTTCAAAATCAGTCTAAAAGCAGTTGAAGGTTCTTCAGAGGCAACCCTTTGTGAAGGCACAACTTTACAGTTACTTGCTTTGGATTAAAAAGGTCTGTGTGAAAGACCTGAATGTTTTCAGCAGTTAATAACCAGTGAGGGAAAGAGCCTGCACAGACAGGAACTGTAAAACCTGGGCCACAGGAGACAAAGAGGGTTTTTTTTTTTACCTTGATGTTCTGGGAATCAAAAGACCTAAAGCAACCAACCCAAAATGCTTTTTTTTGGATGTAGTACATCTTTATTTAAGGCAAAATCAGAAAAGATGGTTATGTGTTGCCCATGATTTATCAGCTGAGGAGGAAGCTCAGCTCCAAAGGAGCACCAGCAGGGAACGAAGGAAAGCTCAGAAGAGCAGGAGAGAGGTGTCACTGTGTGCTCTGTGTGCTCTTTGCAGGGATGTGAGACAGAGAATTCAACAAAGGATTGCTCAGGTGTTTGGGATCAGCTCCTCCTCCCTGTACCTCACCAAGCCAACCTTCTTCTCCAGGATGAACAGCACGGAGGCCAAGACAACCCACGACGAGTACTGGCACCCCCACGTGGACAAGGTGAGGAGCAGGCTGGGGTGGCATTCAAAGGTCTCCTGTTGTTATTTGATCACTTTGAAGTCGTTTTGGGTGAAACAATCAGTCAGACGTGTTTGAAAATTGCTGATTGTTAAAAAATCCTTCAGGGGATGAACCTAAGTGGGAGATAAGTGAGTTTTAGAGACGTAGGCCATTACATCCCATGTAATTTTATTTTCTCTAATTTGGTTTTGCTAGGATTAATAAATTGTGAGAGTGACTACTCAGCAATCTCTTTTGTCAGAAATATTGATTAAATTGACCTGAATTTCAGCCAGGTCTGGCAGGAGCTGTTTCACAGTGGTGAATTGATCACTGCTGTTAGTTGATCTGAGCCTTTGGTAAAGGCTTAACATTTATATTTCAGTTATGTGTGAATTGAGGCTTTTTTACTGTGTGTGTTTCAATGGGGACATGGCACCCCCTTTCAATAATTCAGTGTTGTGTTCTTTTTAGAATGGAGGTATTGTGGCTTTATTTTAACTGCTCAGTCTTCTGTCTTTAGGTTCAGAGCTTAGTGCTTTGCATTTTTAATGGACTTACATGATTTAGTATTGAGTTAATTTCTGAACTGAACTGGATTTAAAGGTTCTGTGAAGTACAGCAGAATACAAATAATGGAAGGACCAAAGGAAAAAAGCCCAAAACATGAAAACCCCCCAAACAAAGAAGCTCCACAGCACAATACCCACATTTCATGTCTTCAGGATTTATAAATGAGTCACTCTGGAGTCATGGATTACCCAAAGTGGAACCAAACAAAAACTTTGCCCATCAAAACCCCAGTTCTGCTCAGGGCTAGAATCTCTAAGTGGGCAGTGTGCTTTGAAGTGTAAGATGAAAAAATCAGAGAAATATTCCTCTCCTGACAGTATTTCCTGGAAAAAGCCGCTCTGAGGGAAGTGGAGCATCTGCTGTTGCTCCCAGCATTAGTGTGAGCTCCTGCCAGGTGAGCAGCAGCAGGTTGGATGTAAATGTGGTGATAGGGGTGGTTGGTACCTGCCCCAGCTGCGGGCTGGGAGCAGAAAATCCAGCAGGGTGGAATCCACAGGCACGGACAAGGCCTGGGGTTGGAAGCTTCTGCTTTAAAAAGCTGGGATGTGACCAGTGGACAGTGGTGGGTGTGGGGCACCAGAGGTGAGAGGGATGGTTTTGAGGTCCTGGTGCTGGTGGGAAGTGGCTGCAGGGAGCAGACGGTGCTGGTTCACGGCAATCCCGTCCCCAAGAGCCACAGAACAAACCAGTGATCCTGCTCGTGAGAAGTGCAGTAAATTCAGCAGCTCCCTGTAGTTTTTCCACAGTTTCAGTGAATCAGATTTGACTGCCACAAGGGAAGAGAAAGCAGTAAATTCCAACAGCTCATGCCCATTTTCTCCACTCTTTTGTTTCGGCCCCAAAAAAGCGTATTTTAGCATTTCAGACTCTGATTTATTACTGTAATGAGATTTGTGTCTGCCCAAGCATTAGGCTTGCCAATGTGCTCTTTATTCTTTTCTGCGTGTGTTTTGCATTGAGAAATGAAGAAAGTGGTTGGATGACCTCACATTTAAGTGTTTCCACCTAAACATCTCCTATAACTTACAAGATATTTTGTCATTTAGAAGCAAATAGATTTCCACAAAGAGGATTTTTTTTCCCCCCTTGAGTCTTTGTCCTGACATCCTGAGAGTGCCTGAACGTGATGGACAGCAGGGTAGATGTTTTGCTGTTTTTATCCTTCTGTTTTGTCCATGTTTTGTTTATCTTGCAGGCTGTCTGGTCAGGGAGCAAATACATCAATTGTTTTTTCTAACCCACCCTCAGCTTCAAAACACCAAAACAGACACAAAATGTGCTCCCTTAAACTTGGAATGCATAATCTACACCTTAACAGTGTCTATACTGAATAAGGGGGTTGTCTGAGTTGTGACAGGGGTTGATCATGGAGGTCTCTTCCAGCCTAAATAATTCAGTGTATGAAGAGATAATTATCCTAGCTGGGGTAGTTACCAAATACCCCGTTCATCATCAAAAGTAGTTTGAACAGAGACCAAACAGGATGAAGCTGTAGCTTCACAAGTTGCCTTGAGTGCAGCAAATTCATCTGGCTTGGATTTTACTTTCTCCAGCAAAGCAAGTTTTCATTTACCACTTCCAGGCTGCAGCTGAAAGCAAGTTAAAAAAATCCATTGCTATTGATGTGAGGTAGGAAGTGCCTCCCAGTTAAGAGCATTAGTCTTCTTCTGTGGCCTCCAAAGCAACTGTGAATACAGGGAGGTTGAAGAAATGTCAATAAAACTTGGCAGTTTGGTGGATGCTTTTGTGTTCTATCGTTATTTATTCCTCTCCCTTGGAACAGAACAAGTCACTTTTTTTAAATTACTATGCAGAAATACATAGTGAAGGTTACTCCTAGAAGACAACAGGATTTTTTCCCTTGCCTCTTTCCAAAAGAAAGGCAAAATTAAGCCTTTGAAAAAGGAATCCCATGCGTTTTTTATTTCAGAGTCTGACACTTACTACAAAGATTTTGGCTTCTTGGAGCACACAAATACCCCTCTTGCCTTTTCCCCTATGTTGCAATGATATTTCTATTCTGACTCTCCTTGGTTTTAAAGGTTTTTAACTGCATAGTGGAGTATTACAGATTTACTGTAGTAAATCTACAGATTTACTGTGTCTGTCTGAGGCTTAGGGTTTCTTTTTTCCCCCTAAAATTTATTTGGTTTGTAGTTACACAGAAATGGAAACCCTGAAATCACCCAGATGACTCATTTAATCTCTCTGAATTTATAAGCATACAAATCAAATAAAGAGAGCGTTGGTTTAAGATGTGGAGTTTCATCTTGGACGGAATTTGTTTGGCACTGAGGCTTTCAAATGTCAAAAAATCTGATTTGTAGGGGAGTTGCTGTTGCACACTCAACACTGGCAGCAGTGCAGGCTTAGAACATTCTCTGACAGGAGCAATGGGGGACTTGCAGGGATCCTGCCATCCTTCACAGAATCATCAGGCTCTGCCAGAAGATCCTTTTTGGGCTTGTTTTCCTTGAATTTCTTCTATCAGAGCTATTCCAGGACTTCAGTGCACATTTCCTCAAAATTATTTGTTGTTTTGTTTTGTTTTGTTTTGTTTTTTTAAGCCTAAACTTGGCCATGAGCAGTTTAGAGCTGGTTTTCCCTTCCTCCCACTTCCACCTCCTCCCATCCCCATTTATTTACAGGCAGGAATCAGATCCCTTTTCAGCCTTTCTTTCTCTAAGCTGAACAAGCCAAACCTCAAAGTCCCCTTTACTGCAACGTGCTCTCCACGTCCCCAAACAGCCCCACCCCCAGCTGCTGAGTCTCTTTTCACTCTCATTTTCTTCCCCTGATGTTGTTACACATTTATAAACCCCATCCAGAGATCTTATTTGTGCCTTAAAACAGCACCATCTTTGAACTTGGAGGAAGTTGATCCTCAAAAACCCAAGAGTGCCACTGCAAAAATGTGTCTGGCTAATTCTGACAGTTGTATTTATGATAATTGCCTTTAAAGAGCTACCATATAAACGTCATTAGGAGCATCTGCCATTAAATATTAGCTGTGTTTTGACTTCTTTTGGGTAAAGAGTGCTCCAAAAGAGCACACTTAACTATATAACATATCAGGCTGACTGGAAATACCTGCATTTTTCTTGGGGAGCTGTTCATAAGGAGCTGGAGAAAATTGATTTGCTGTGGCTTCCTGGCTTATCCCCTGCTTTTAATGACAGCTTTTCTCACATAGTTGGAACTTCTGATTCAGTTATTAACCTGTCTGGTACTGGAAATCATTACCAGGGTCACAAATATATTGGATATACATGTGAGGATTTTAACTCAGTATAATTTAGTGCCTCCTTTCCAGAGGGTTGCAGTTCTCAGACCTGGCTGCTTCTGAGAGTTAATAATGAATGAGGGCAAGCACAGAAAAGCCATTTTGCCTTGCACATTTAGTCATTTACAGCAATTAGCTGTGTTTGGTTGGGCTAAAATGGTTTGCAGGCAGCTCTTTGGAAGTTTAGCACTGGTAAAGCCACCTTGCAGATGGAGTGGATAAGAACAATTTTAATGCCTTCAACTTGCAGGTTTATGAGCTGAATGAACTTCCCTGTGCTCGTGCCTTCAGTGGCTGGAAGCCTTCCTTAATAAATTGACTGGAAGTGTTATCAGCATATCAGTGAAGTGGAAAATAGCTTTGCAGAGCTGCTTTGCATGAGAGGGGCTGTGGAAGGGCTGGTTGGAGGCACTGCAGTACCACTTGCTCATTAATTCCCATTGATTGCCTTGTGTTGCTACCAAGATTTGGGAAAATAATGGGGGGAAGGGGATCACTGTGATATTTCTCTCATTCTTGTGATTCAGGCTGTGTGGTGCAGCTTTTATCACCAGATTTTGGCTTTTTGCCTTTAAGCCCTTCTGGTCAAAATAATCAAATGAGTAAGAATGAGAATGTCTTCCTGTTCCATCTGCTGCTCTGTTCTCTGCAGTCACTGCCCTTGCAGGATGTACAACTGCTCTGGAGCCAGAAATTTAACTGGCACTGATGAATGGAACTTGAAACATAGCTGAAAATATTTAGAAAACTTCTAAGTTTGGAAGTAGCACCTACCTCTGACAGTCAGCAGGTCAGTCAAAACACTCTGCAAATGCTGTGTGTTTACACAGTGCTACTGTTGCTGCACATTTCCCTGTCTGACAGTGTGATGCTGAACTCCAGGGTTGGGATTTACTGCTAAGAAATTGCAGAATACAGCCATTGATTTTAAGGATGTTTTTAATTGCTGGTGGCACGTAGATACGAAAAGAAATATTTTCAGAATCAGCTAAACTCAGTGTTAAATATTTAGATAGCTTCACTCTGAGCGTTAATATGTAATATTTCTTTTCTCCATCTTCAATGTACATATCAAGCGAAAATAACGCTTTACAAGGAAGGAAAAATCACTTTGTTATGCTTAAAAATGGGATGTTTGGTCTGTAGGCTGAGAAGAAGCAGAGACTTAGCAAGTCACGTTGGAAGGTTTTTAAACAAAACCTGGATGGAAAAGAGTAGAAGTTCCTCTAACAAATGTGTGTTTATTTGAAAAGTCTGATTTATTATTGCCATGAAGCTCCTGCCTGGTAGCTGGTGAAAAAGTGAAAAGTGAGGTTTCTAGAAATCTCTGAGTGTGGTTAGATAATGGGTGCAATTCATTAGTCAAAGGCTGTTGTTCTGCTCATTAACCTTTATCTTGAAACAGTGTGAGCAGATCTGAGCTCTGCTCTACTTTGGACACAATGCAGGGGTGCAGCTTCTGGCCCTGTGTTGTTTTTGCTCGTGGATGATGGAAATCAACAGCGGCACTTCTCTAGTTATGGAAACTGTGGTAATAATAAACATCACATGCTAGTCTTGTATGGAGCAGGTGTGTACATGTAATAAAATAAATGAATAAACACAGAGGCTTTGTAGGAAACAATGTCCTCAAAGAGCCCTTTCTTAAACTTATGTGAAAACTGGATAATTAGAAAAACCCATCAGATCTACCTGCTTAATTATTTGTGCTCTGCAGAGGTGAGAGTAAAAATTTGGTCATTTTTGGTCATGTTGTCTTCTCCCCCCCCCCCAGGTGACTTATGGCTCTTTTGACTACACCTCCCTGCTCTACCTCTCTGACTACTCCCAGGACTTCGGGGGAGGAAGGTTTGTGTTCCTGGATGGAGATTCCAACAAGACAGTGGAGCCCCGAGCAGGTACAGCCTGGGAGTGGCTGCAGGATGAAGGGTTCATTGTGCCATTGATAACTGGGTGGGCTGGCACAGGGGGTGGGGTTGTGTGTGGTAATTCTGCCTTCACCTTGGTGGTGTGGGAAGGGATGATTAAACAAGGCTGAAAGTGTGGCCACAGTCTGACATATCTGGGCCACAATGAGTGACTTCCTTGAAAGCTGGGGGGGCTCAGGAGTGCCATGCAGGGCTGGCAGCTCAGCAGGGCACTCTGCAGCTGTGACTGCAGCAAATCCAAAATGAACCATTCATTTTAGACTGGCCTGAAACTCCTCTGCTGTTCAGGGTGGGCTCTGTCCCCTGAGGTGGCCATGGGCTGGGTGTGAAGATGATTGATTACCACAACAGCTCTGATAACAGGCTGGAACACAGCTACAAGTCCGTCCCTGCTTCCAGGAGATCTGACAGGGATGAGCATTCTGATGGCTGTCAGTTATAGCTCAATAAAAAGCCTTTAAGGCTGGTTTAAGGTTTCTCTAATAAGTGGATCATTTGGAACTGCAGTTACTCTGGGGCAGGATGCCCAGAGAGGGAGAGCTGAGTCTCAGCTCATCTGTCTGGCAGGTTGAGTGCTGAGCTTCCTGCAGTGTTGCCTTTTATAATGCAAGACCAGCCACACTTTTGCGGGGTGGGGGGGAAGCCAAGGGCAGCTTTATATTCCTACTGTGTTCTGTATTTTATTTTCAAGACAGAAAAGATGGAAATTTACTCATTGAAAGACAGCCTCAGTAATTGTCTGCTGACAGGCATTACCCCAGGACTATTGCTGCCTGCAAATTGGGCTGGTGTTTTTTGAATTATGGATCACAGTGAGCCACTCACCTGCAATAATGCTGGTTTAGATAAACTGGGATTATCTGCACTCTGGGTTTGGTATCAAGAATTATATGTTTGATTATTTTGGCTTTTATGATTGGAAATAAACCCTCAGCTGAAAGTGCCATCTTTTGCAAAATGCTCTGTTTTGAAAGGGAGCACATGAAACTATTTCATTTCCAGGTGCAGTTGTAAGATGAACACGTGTTTGTAGGTGTAGAAATCACAGCTGAATTGTGGGTGTGGGAGGAGAGCTGTGTCCTGCCTCAGTTCCACTGCATGCAAGGTGCCCCCTGACTTAATTTCCAAAAGTCTGCTGCTCCGAAATTGCTTCCATTCAGCCCTCTCCAGTTCATTTGCAGGTTTTCTGCTGCAAGGTGTTCTCTCTTGATGTCATTTTGAGGTTTTTTTTTTAGCAGCACCTGGTGGGGGCTGTTCCCTTTCCCGGCTGTTCCGTGGGCAGTGGGTGCCACAGGAGTGGTTGCACACACCTGAAACAAAGCAGTGCAGAGAACAGCTCCAGTGTCACAACCTGCAGCTCTGTGACACCCTGTGAGCCAAGGAGAGGAGCTTCAGGGGTGAAGCACAACCTGAAGGCACTTGCACTCCCTTTTCCTCTTGCTGACAAAACGTGGCTTGGAAGAGAACGACCCCAGGGTGTTTTCTGTTGCTGGCACAAGTTGATGTATTTTTCATGATCAGAATGTTCCTCTGCAGTGGTTTTTTTTCTTTCTCTCCTTCTGTCCTTTTGGCTTTTGTGTTTGTTTTGGTTTGTGCTTCTTTTGATCCTCGGTGCTCTGCTTGTCACTCCAACCCAACTTTTAAATCCACGTGTTGATAATTCTCATTTAGGAGATCCAGGCTCTTTTAGAGAGGACTGTCATCATCACTGGATCAGTTTTAGTGCTTGGCTAAGCTAATTTACCATCTCTGTATTGCTAATGCCACTGAAGCCCTAAAACCTGGCACTTCTTGTCGTCTCAGGCTGCATTTTGGGAGGGCGATGCTGAGTGCCCAAATGGGCAGGTTTCTTTTTCTGTGAGCAGTAATTTGTCCAAGTGTCAGGCTCTACAGCAGGGGACAGAAAAGTCATTGTTAGTGATGCAGCAGAGCAGAAAAGCAGTCATTGGAAATACAGGAAAAAAGCAATTAAAAATAAACCATTGTGGGACGGCCTGTGTTTGAAAGTGCTGCCTGGGCAAGTCCCACTGCTGCTCCAGATACATTTGCAGCAATTTAATGGTAAAGGATCAGTGTTAGCCAGGCAGGGGGGGACAGGGAGGACTGTTCTGTTAGGAGTGGAGCCTAAATTAAAATGCTCATCCCTTCTCTCAGTGCATTATCTAAGAGGTCTGTAAGTCCCAACTCTCACATATTTCACTGAAAGCCTCTGATCTGTTGGATGTTCTTTACCATCCCCTGGTTCTGTTATTAACAAACACCTCCAGCTTTAAGAAGGAATTATAATTTATTAACCTCGAGGCTTTTGAGATGATTTTCTTTCCAGCAGACGTGAACAAGCCAGCACCACGATGCCAGTTGAAGTGTGTAACCTTTGGCTAATTCATAACCAGTTTTGGCATGAAGGAACACATCTTTCTTGTGCCCTGATGGGCTGCAGAAGTATAAATGTGTCTTTTGACTTCAGTCAGGACCTCTGTCTGCTGCAAGAAACTCACTGTACCATGAGCAAGAGAATTCTTAGTGCCAAGGGAAATACTCCTTTGAAAAGAAAACATTTTTTTTGGTGCAGAGAAACAGATCTAAAGTGGTGTATCTGTTTCTTTTAAATATCTATGGAAATTCTGTTTGCCAAAAATGATCATACTGGTATTTCTTTCCTCCCTTTGCACCGGGAGTTGGTTTGTTCAGCCTTTTGAAATGAGGTCCTTCAAAATGAAACTTTTCAACATTCTTTTTGTTTTAGTAATCTTCAATAGATACAGGAGGATTGAGAAGAAATGGCAAGACATGGAGTTATTCCTTTTTCAGCCATAAAATTTCTATACTTTCTGCTGCTGCTGCTAAACCTATCAGTGTAAACCATATTTAAAATTTCATAATTTCTCAAAGTCTTGTGTGAATTTGGGGACTGACAATATCAGAACACAGACTTTACTTTATCATACAGTGGAGATGAAACTCTGCTGTTGGTTGAAATCTCAGTACTGGTTCTGTGTCCATTATTTGCAGGTAAATTTGGGTTCAAGGTCAGTTTTGCTGCATTCATTTTCAACTTACAAGGGGAATTTGTTCCTCATACAAGTTGTTTACTACACAAGGGTAGAAGGAAAGGTCACGGTCACTTCTTCTGTGTGTTTGGGGAAGAAAATAATCTATGATGCAAAATGAATTCTGTGCTTTGGAGAGTGAAACGTGGCTCTCCCTTGAATATCAAACTTAGCATATTCTCACAGCTGTCAGGAGTGTGATTTTGGAAGTGTAAAATATTTGAGTTGAAGGTATGAGGTGTTTGGGAACTTGTGCAGTTGGATTCTTCCTGGTTTAGGATGGAAAACAACGTGTTCAAATGCACCCGAGGCTTTCCCACGGTGCAGGAATGGGCTGTGGGCTCTGGGGGTGCATTCACTGAGGTAAGTGCAGTTTTACTGCAGTGCTCAGATATTGCAGGACTCTCAGATCCTGGAATCCTGATAATAAGTGCAGTATTCCAGATGAAGGGATGGGAATCTGTCTCATCTTTATCTTTAAAAAACCAGGTTCCAGGAATTCCATCCTAAAGGCTAAGGAAATGCAGCACAGTGATATGAAATGTCACATTTCCAGGTCCAGGACTCTCACAGCAGCGTTAACAGAAGGTGTGAAAAACATCTCTAAAGCATGTATTTAGTAATTTATCTTGTACCATGGAACAGTGGATATTTTGCTCCCTCACTGAGATAGTCTGATCCTTCTCTGTTTTCAAGCCATATCATCCAGGTTCACTCTGGATCACGATGATCTCCTGCCATTCCCAGCTGTAGTTTTGCTCCAATCTGTAAAAACTGGAGCACAGTTTGAAGTTAAAGCAGTGTCAGCTGAAAGATGAGAATGATTTTCGAGTTCTCCAGAATTAACTGCCTGTCCTGGTGAGGGGGGAATGCAGCTGGCATCAGCAGCTCAGTAATAACCAGCCATGCAAAGTCCTTGATTTACAATACTCATCACAAACTGCACCAGGGGCTGGGAGGTGATTGCAAAGAGAAGTGGTAGAAAAAGGAGGGAGGACCTGTTAAAATTGTGACAAAAAATACAGAGAAAAAAGCTCCTCATTTCTCTGTAGGACTCTGAAGGCTTTATTTTGCTTTCTGTTTTGGTACCTGTGGAAGGATAATTGTCTGCCAGGCTCTGGTTTTGTATTCTGGCAGTGCTTGATGACAGGTTAATGATGGCATTAAATGAAATGCTATTTTAATTAGGCCCATAAAGCAATAGATATCTGGGAGTGCAGGTCAGACCTGCACTTAAGATGGTGTTTTTATGAATGACTTCAGATAAATACACTGCTGGTACTGAGGGGAGCTGTGGTCAGTATATCCATCACTGGCTGGGCCACTGAAAGGATGGAAAACAAAACAAAATCCCAAATAACTGCAGGTCCAGCTGTGTTTAACTGGATGGTTCAGTAAGGATCGTTCATTGCTTGGTTCCTGAGGTTTGTGAGTGTGAATGTCACGTGCCATAGATGCAATCATGAGGCTTCTGTGCTTGACACAGAAGTAGCAAAATCATTCAGAGAAGCTTGTGCCCTCTCTCCTGGGGGCTCTCTTCACCCCATATCAGAGCAGTCACAGACACTGTCATTCCATGTTCCTTTTGTGGGGTTTGCTTAAAGGACTTGCTTAAAGTTCTCCCCATTCAACATTTATTTATAAGTAACTGATTAAGTCTATCTGTTAAATAAGTTTTATTTTGTGTGATGGCAGAGACTGTTATCATCAGGTTATTTGCCTGATGATCTGATGGGTTTCCTTGGACACTTGAGACGAGAGTGAATTAGTGATTATACTTTACAGATGACAGGGATGAGAAGATCACAGTTGTGTTTGTGCAGTTTCCCTGGCAGTGCTTCTGTCCTGGTGTCATTCAGCAGATGAGATGCAGTTTCTCCTCCTTTCCCAAGAAACATTTAGAGCTGATAAATGTTAAGCAGAGTCAGAGCTGTCAGTGCATGAGATGGAAAATGCTGAATAGACCTGGGGTGCCAAACAAACGGTTCCTGCTTCCCTTTCACCAGACAGATGAGTTGTTTGGTTTCCTTCTGAGCAGCAGAACCAGCTGCCATGGACAGTGGGGGGAGGAGAGACCCTTTCCATCCCTTCCCTGGCTCTGGCACCAGGCAGGGGTGGCCCCTCTGCCCTTCCCTGATGTCCAGCAGGCCAGGGAGGAGAGCAGGGGAACAGTTGGCATTCCCTTTCTTGGTCAAGACCATCTAACACAAAATTTGCACTTTCTCCTTGATGTTCTCGTGACCCAAAGAGTTCACAAGGAAATCTGGCAGTGAATTAAACTAGAAGGGCCAGAAGAATGCTGCCAAAAAAGCAGAAGGGGGAATACCACATGAAGGATGGGAGCATGAAGGGGAAAACAGTGGCAAAACAGGCTGCAAATACAAGTGATTACCAAAGTTGTTCCATGTGTAATCAGAATAACTGAGGAGGGAAAGGACCTCTGGAGATCATCTGCTCCGTGCCCCCCACTCAAAAATCAGGCACAGGGGTAACAAAAGATTTGAGCCTGAGACACCCCTGGGAAGGGGGTGGATGCTGCACTCGTGTGTCTGACATGGCCCTGAGCAACCTGCTGGCACTCAGGAGTCAGAAACAATCTGGGAATTGGCCCTGATCTGACAAAGGGAATTGGACCAGGGAACCTCCCAAGGTCTCTTGCAGCCTAAGTGATGCAATGAATGTTTGGTATGAGAGGCATAATAATCTTGCAGCATTTTTTCTTATGAGCACTGTGGGGTGTTAATATTTGAATGGTTCTCAAAGCCCTTTTTTTATATTCCCTACATCTTGTTATAACTTAACCTGATGTGTCTGACTAATTTTCCTTCAGAATAAGAACAGCAGAAGGTATGTTTTTATCATACTTGTAAAAGAGGACGTGTGTTAACTGCCAACTATTGTACTGGTGCTTACTAATTAATTTTCACAGAAACCTTGTTAGAATAGGTCAGTACTACTTTCATTTTAGAGACAAGGAAACAAATGGCAGAGTAAATGGTTTCCTTGAGGTCACAGTTAACACGTCAGGGGTGTGGATGTCACTGAAAATGGTTTCCTTTGTACCTCCCTCCAATCTGTGCTGCCTCTCAAGAGAGGCCGGGGAGCAAATTGAAGGCAGCTTGTTTATGGAAGTACAACAGAATGTTAGAATTCAAGACAGACAAAAATCTGCTGAGAGCAAGTCCTCTGGGGATGGTGACTTTTTACTGTGACATAGCTGAGCGCATCATTTTTTCCCACCTGTCTGCTGCTGCTCGTGGTGCTGATGTTTTCTCAGTACATCTGAAAAGAATTTGTTGCTAAGAGGCAATTATGAATTAAACCTGGGAGAGCAAAAGCTCATATTTAATACATATATTCCACTGTTTGAGTAATTAAATGGGACAAAATTGCTGCACAGTGAAGTGTCTGTTGCTTTTGCTGCTTGTTAAATATTATTCCTGAAAATAACAGTGTTGCTTCATCTAAATTGGAATCACATCAAATTGTGGAATTTGTGACTGGCACTTGCATGTCTTTATAAATACTGATTCCTGTGGATCAATGCAGAAATGGATTCTCAGAAAGTCAGGGGAATGAGTGGTGACCTCTGGTACAATGAAGGTCTTGCTGCCTGTAAGAGCTTTGAGGAGTTCCCAGTCCTTGGTGACTGTCACAGGGTGGCACATTCTGATGAGTTTTCTGTGACAGCAGTTCTTTCATCCCAAATACAATTTATCCTTTGCTTACTCTTAAATATTTTCAAACTTGTGTGGATGCCTGAGGGCCACTGAAAGGAGGGACTGGGAAGCATCTCCACCTGGAGATGGAGCTCTGGACTAATCCCAGTGCAGATGCAGAGCCTGGGAAGGGGAAAACAGCTGCACCACAACAACACTTCCTGCAGTCTGCAAGGAACAGCAGCTCCTCAGCTAAACCTTGGCCAAACTCCATCCTGAACTTTCTAGCACTTAATGCTGGAAAGTATGGAAAACATGGAAAGGAAGAGAAAACAAGCTTTAGAAATCAAAGGCAAGGGTTGATTACTTCTGTTCCTGTGGGCAAGTGCAGGCAAGGTGGTCACTGAGAGGCTCCTGCAGCTCCTGAGGTTACCACAGATCTTTCCAGTTCTTTTGGGGTTTTGTTCTTTTTTCAAGAAAGTTGAAAACAAGTGCATTTGTAGGGGAGGAGCTTCTTCCAGGGCATTGCTGCACCCTTCCATGGGATCCAGGCTGGAGCAGAGCTCACTCCCCTCCTACTAATGGCACACCTTTATTTTATCTCATGGCTTTTCCCAGTGAATCTCTGGATAAGGATATTGTCGGATATCCCTGGAAGGTTTTGTTGGATGGGATGGGAATTAACATTCTCTACCCTCGTTTTGAACATTTACACTGTTAAAAATAACATGCCATGGAGAGAGTGTGCTTTTGCTTCAAAAACTGTGCAAAGAAATTAAGGTTAAAAGAAATTCTTCCCAAGTGAGCACAAAGCATCTTTGAAAACCGACTGCAGCCTTGTTCAGTGACCCAGAAATCCCAGCTGATGGAGAAGGGACCAGATACACAAGGAGCTGTAAGATACCATATATATGAAGATATATTTATTAAAGAAAGGACTTAAAAGACATTCTGTGCAGCAAACAAATCCAGTTTAACTGGCTGAAACAATACACTGAACCTTGTCCCACTCTGAATTACCACTACTTCTAGAAAGAGATCAAACTAAACAGCTTGAGAAGTCAGTTTAAGGCAAAGCTTTGGGTGAGTAGCTGAGGGACCAATAACACTTTAATGATGTTGAAATAAGGTTTAAAAGGAAAAAAAACTATGACACAGGGACTTTGTATGAAACCCTTGAGGGCTGCGCTCACTGCAACACTTAGAGGGTAGGAGCACGTTGCCTTCATTCAGCCTTTCATCCAGAGAAGCAGGACAGCAAGGTGGGAATGAGCTGTGCATGTGAATGACTCTGCTCTTTGTGAATATAAAGCTTTACCCATTATTGATGTGCAGCCACAGGAACAGAAGAGGATGATGTGACTTGTGCTTGGCAGCTGGGAAAGGCTCTGAAGTGCATGAGGATTAGGTGTGAGCTGGAACCGAGTGGGAAAGGGACTCCAGCAGATTGAATTCAGAGATTGGGGGGTAAACTGAGCTCCAGAAAGCCAGTCTGGTTCTGCCCCAATCTCCCACATGTGCTGCTTAGGAGTGTGCAAAGGAACTTCTGCATCTTTTGGCTCACTCTAAAGAGAAAACCAGCTACATGCCCATTTCTGCAGTGGAGATGGGCTAAGGGTTGGATGGGTAAGTTTATCTTGCTGTGCAGACTCTAAGTAGGCATTGAAGTGTTTCATTTTGCCTGATGGCAGCCCAGGCACAGTTAGATTGTCAACAGGAGTTCCCTTTGATAACCTTTGAAACAAACTTTAATTTGAACAGTGGGGAGAAAAGCCTGAGTGGGGAAAACACAAGCTCTGGGGGTGCAGGTGAGCATGTCTTGGTTCCTCAGGAGAGCCGGAGCCGTCCTGTGGAGTTGCGTCAGTTGGGAGTCACTCACTGAACATCAGACTTGTTTGTTCTCAGAAGAGTTTAATGATGGGGAAGTGCAGAGGGGTCTATTCTGCTGTCTCATCCAGTGGGATGCCAATGCACCACCTCTGCTGTCACATCAAAGTCACTGCATTCCACCTGGATGCCACGGGAGGCAGGTGATGGTCAGAGCTTGGGCAGGATGGAGCACAGCGGGAAGCACTTGCATTTCTAAAACAATTCCAGCGAGTGCATTGATGGAGTGGCTCTTTCTAAGGAAAGTGAATTTGTACATGAGTGATACATGACTCTGTAACCTGACTGAACAGTGAGTGATCAGAGCAGGCCCAGAAAGCAGTAGCAAATGCCTGGTGCAGTGCTGATAAACTGCCACAGCTGCTCGTAAACCTGCTGAGCATTTTGTCACTGAAGACTTTTTGAAGACCTTAGTACTTCCTCCTTCTTTGGTCTAAAATTAGAGGCCAGACTAGAAGGGGAGCAGGGAGGAAATCAATACACTTTGATGGCAGTCAGTAGAGCCACGCTCTTTTAATTGAGGCAACTAAGAACTGGCTTCAGATGGTTTTGGCTTCCTCCTGCCTTTTATAAACTATGAGATACAGTGGAATTACATCTCCAGCTTCGCAGCACAACGGATTAAAGTGTGTTTTAAACAGTCCATAAAGCTGTCAGAGTGCAGCATAAGCTCATAACAGTTTGTCTGTGTGATGACCTGGGGGCTCTCAGGTACTGAGACAACGGCAAGGCTGCGTGGAGAGAGCTGAGAGGCAAACTCCGTGTCACTGATGAAATAAAAACATGTCACTTGTCTTTACAGGCCGGGTTTCCTTTTTCACCTCTGGGTCGGAGAACCTGCACCGTGTGGAGAAGGTTCACTGGGGCACTCGCTTTGCCATCACCATCTCCTTCACCTGCAACCCGGAGCACGGCATCGGGGATCCAGTCCTGGGGTAACTCCCCTGGGGGTGGAGCACGAGGTCAAATGGAAGGAGAGAAGCCCTGCAAGAGGAGAGGAAAAAGGGAGAGAACATCTGCTGTAACCTCACGTTCAATCAGAACTGCCCAGCTGTATCAGCAGATTGCAATGAACTTTGTTTTCCCATCTCAGGACCATCTCAGATTTGATGCCTTCTGAAAATGGTTTGTTATGTCCCAAAGGGGCAGGCTACAAAGAAGAGTTCTTGAGTGGGCTCTTCGTTCTTTTTTTTCATTACTATTTTTAAAAAAATTCTTCAGTTTAAAAGCTACAAACCTATCTTCTGGGCCATGCCTTGATTTGTCTCCCTGTGCTGCTGTGAACCTGTTTAATTCTTTAACCTTTTCAGTTACCAATGTGATGCAGAAAGTTTGACCTAAGTCAGTTGAGCAAGGTGAGTGTTATTCTGAACACGCTTTCTGTTGAGAACAATGGATTCTCATGATCCATGGGCACGAGTGGGCAATGCACCTGGGGTTTGGCTACTGGCACTGCCTTCAGCCTCTGTTTTAACTGAATTACTAGTGTTTTTTGCCACAAACAGGGACTAGTTAATACAAAGTCAGACATACAGTTCTCTAGCCAGAAAGCTCTGAGGGAAACTGGTGTCCATTTACAACTGAGTCGTGTCCACAGCAATGTTTTATCTGCTTCAGAAGGTCTCTCAGTAGCTATGTTGGGACTTTTTCAGTTCAGTATGAAGACTTTTTTTCTGTTGCCTCGGACCACTGGTGTTCCCTGGGTAATAAACTGCAAGGGCTTCAGAGAACCGGAGCTGTGTGAATTGCAGTGCAGATAAAGGAACAAAAGGGTAATCTTGCCAACTACCTTGGTGTTTTACTGCAGACAAAGATTTCTGTGGGTCAGGGAATTGATAAATAAACTGCAGGAAAACCTTATTTTTTTTCTCAATCATATTCTGAAGCAAATCTGTTTTATTCCTAGGATGTATAATTTCTGTGAAACACTGAAAATCTGGGAATGTGCTTTGGTGTTTAATTTTTTAAAAAAATTCTATACATAGTTTTCATTCCTTAATCTACCCTTTTATGGAAATAATAAGTATTGGTGGGGATTACCCTGCAGATCAGTGTATAGAGGATTGATGACAGCACACCTGGCCTTGTGAGCGCTCTCACTGGGCACATCAGCAAGATTGCTCTTAAACCTGAAAAAGCCTTTCTTGTCTGTGCTACGAGGAAGGATTGTTAAAAAGGCTGGATGAGAGGAAACAATAAAGCCAACTGGGTTCCATATTGAAATCTTTGTCTCAAAGCCTGTTTATTCCAAGGAACTGGAATTGCCCCCAGGTTTTAGGTCTGTGTGGAGGCAGACCAAGATCACCAGCAGCTGCTCTACTGGATTAAAACTTGATTGCTCACATTGCTTTGGGATTCCAGGTCAAGCTGATATTTGTCTTTGGGAGTCTTTAAGCCTCAGTAACCTGGTCAATATGATGAGCAAACCTGTCACCTGGAGTTTTTGTTGGATAATTGTCTGCTGCACCCGCTATGAGAATTCCTTTGGAAAGAAGCCCAGCGATTCCACAATAAATGCTGGATGTTTTAGGACCACTGAGATTCTTCTGTCTGGAGCTTCAATATCTGGACTGCAAAAAGCAATATCTACATCTTGGAAGAATTTAAATGGCAAATGAGGAAGTAAAATGCAATCTCAAAGTTCCTGAATGCAGCCTCCAGCAGGAAACCAGTAATTGCGGGAAGGCTGATGTTCCTGGGGCAGAGTGGGAGTTGCAGAACTCACTGATCATTAGAGATAAACTTGGCTTCATTTATTTTAGATCCCTTAAATACCCTGAATAACTTTTTATGAAGGGTCTCTCTTCCCAGTTCTTGACAGATAACAGGAACTACTCCTAAACCAATTTTCCATTCACAGGAATATCAGGAACTTCTGAAAAATGAAAAGGTGTGTGATCAGATGATGTTTTTTGTGTAAACCCACTTTTCAGTCCTGTGGCATTCCAGGAACTTCTTGCCATTTCTCATGTACCACATTTTCATTGTGCAAGCACCTGTGGAATGATGGGTTTTAATTGCCCTGAAGGTTTGGAAAAGTACATTTATGTTGGGAGTTTCCTGAGTATGTATTGTCCCCCTGAAATACCCTGCGCTCCATCTTCATGGATTTCAAGTCCAGAAATGTTTACAAGGGTAATCTATTTACAAAGAGATTTTAATTTGGATTTAGAGCAGAAATTTAGCTCCCTGTCTTATTTATTTTTAAGATCAACGTCTCAGCCAGGTGCACTCTGAGGCTGTAGCACGTACCGAGGTGCACATTAAAATAAATGTAGCTGAAATGGCATCGATGATGACTGGGCTGTCGGGGAAATCTGGTTTTGTTTCTTCAATTGCAATTCTCAGTACCCTTGAATTTCTCTTTTATAGCTTTCCTTTCCCTGGTAAATGAAGATGACATTGTTTTTAACATCATAGTTCCTCATGTTCCTCCCACATCCAGATATCCTTGCACGGTGGTTACAGGAGAATTGGTTCTTTCTAACGTGCTCATGTGGAGCTTTGGGCAGTATTTTTGTCTAGGAATAAACCCAGGAGATGCTGCTGGAGGTCTGGGCTGTCTGAGTGGGGAGGAATAAACACAACAATAAATACACCCAACCTCCCTCCTCCAAGGAAAAAAAAAAAAAAAAAGAAAAAAAATATCTCCCAACTCCTGTCTCTCCTTTTTGAGTCTCCTGTGTGGAAATCCAAGCCAACATTCCGAGAGCAGCAGGAGAGTTATTTCCTCTCTGGACCACAGATGGCTGTGGCACAGGGATGGTCTCAGCCTCCTTCAGGAGGGCAGATCAGCAATCCTGGGCAACCCAGCTCAGACTCCACTGCAGTGCTGGGGAATCCTCTGCTGCTCCTTCTGAAACACCAGGCAGGGCTGTAACATCTCTGCCTTATCTTGTTTTTTGTAAACATTCTTAGGGAGCTGAAAGCTAATTTTAGATGGTGTTTGTTTGGTGAAACCTGCCAGTCACCTCTTTTACTGACTGTTAATTTATCCCCAAGGCATCTGAGTGGGCATTTTTTATCTTCCATGGGAGTGTTGGTGACTTCAGGCTGGACTGTGCAAAGGAAATAACCATCCTATTTCCAAAGTGCACATCTTTGTGTGCATCATCTCCCCTCCAATCCCTCATTTCATGTCTCACTTCCCTCCCAGCACAGCTCAACTTTTACCTGTAGCAAGAACTGCACGGGGCATAATAATCCATTATTTATCTGCCTTGCCAGGACTGAAGAGGAGCTGGCTTTTTCCTCTGACCCTCTCAGCCCACGTGGGGGCTAAAGAAGAATTCCTAACTCAATTTCTGAGATTCTTCATTCTTCAGCATTCATTTTTTTTCCCAGCTACTCTCTTATTTTTCTTCCATTACAGGCATTGTCCACATTGGAACCACCACCCTTTATTTCTGAGATAGTCCTTTCCATCTCACCTGTTCTCCTGTAAGGCTGAAATAATGACCGGGGAGGGGCCTGTTGTTGAGCATTCTTGTCTTCCATGATACCTCATGGACAACGAGTAAGGAATTTTGAACCAGAAGCTCCAGAGAGCAGGGCAGACCTTGGAACCACAAGGAGTGCCTTGCTTGAATAGCCCTTACTGTGGAGTCAATAAAGCAGCTTGGAACTACCACCCCCTTTATTTTTGTAACCTTTAGATGCATCTAAACAAAGGGGAACTACCCTATGTAGGGCTGGATAACCCTGAGGCTGCCCCAAGGGATCTGCACTGGTGGAATTCATGAGTTGCCACGGCAGATTTATTGTTCAGAAGGAGCTGCACTGACACCTTCACCTGAGATTTGAAGCTCCGTGATGTGAAGCACAGGAGTGCCCCAAACCACAGCACCTCTTTTGGAAGGAAATATTCTGTTTAATATTCTATTTATAGAGGGAAGCTGAGATTTGTGGAGCTCATGTTACTCGTTTCTGGGAATTTCTTGTAACAGGCTTCCCGTGTTCAAAAAAAAAAGCTCATTTTAGACATGGATACCCTTCCTATTCTTTTATTAACAACCAGAAAAAAAGCACCAACCAGGTTCCTGGGGCATGATTTTTCTGGACAGACACCATGAGGATTTGTCTCTCTCTCTTTCCTCAGTTTATACAATTATTTTAAGCTGTTTATGTAGGTGCCTGGACACTTTGCTGCTGACTCCACAGAAAAAAAATCCTGCTGTTTTCCTTTGAGAGTGCTTTTCACTGCCAGGGGAAGGGCTCTGGGCGGATTCCTACCTTGGAGGTGACCTCCTCAGCATATTAACTTGCCAGCCAGACCATTAAATCTTGGGGGAATAAACACAGGCAGGTCCTAATGGAGTCATTCTGCATGTCTTGGCTCTGGAGGGTGGTTTCTTCCATCCCCTCTAGTAGACAAATGTGTTTATTTCTGATTTATATTACTGAGGAGGAGACATCTTCTGGGAGTCCTCCCTGCATAAAAGGGCTTTAATTGTGACTCACTGAATAACCTCATAAAAAGAAGGCCCCGTTTTACCAGGTGATTCACAACTCAAAAGGCTGCTGTGAAATAACAAACCTTGAGCCCGTTTAGTCCTTGCACTTCTCAACACCAAAGCAGTGAGACAAGGGACCTGGCACTTGGATTATTTCTGCTTCACCAGGGGCCAAAAATGTGTTTTCTTATCGTTTTATTTTAAAGGAAAAGAAGAAATTAATTTGGGAGTCATCCCTTTCCACAGGCACAAATAGGATCAGAATAATCTGTGCTTTATTAGCACGAAAACAGAAAAACAGCAGAAGTAAGTCAAGCAGAGGGGTGAGTTCAATTTAAGGCTGTGTTAGGCAGGGAGCAGCTGCAGGAGGTTTCTCCCACACTGACACGTCTGTGTCAATTTAAACTGACATTTCCCCCTCCTCCTTCTCCTCCTCCCTCTGCTTTATTGGTTCATTAGAAGATCAGACAAAGAGCTGGAAAGTGAGAGCTGTCAGGCAGCGAAGCTCTTGCTGATAAAACCTTCCATAAAACTTCCAGCAGGACCTCTTCCTCAGCACCATTAACTTCAGCTGTTTATCCTGTCCACTCTGAATTAATAGTGAACGCTGAGTATGCTAAAAGGAGTTGTCATGCTGCATCCACCTATTTAAAAAATGATGAATTAATCTTTGTTCTGCATGCACCTCTTGTAGGAAAGGGGCATTTCAGGTGATATTTGAATAGCATCTATTTTACTTTTTCTGAAACTAGGCAGAATTTAGACCTGTAAGTAAGAGATAATCCAAGACAACATTAAAACTGAATTAATAAATAGACATCTACAGAAAGTTTCTCTTGGGGGAAAAAAAAAAGATTGAAAAATTAGGGTTTTTTAGAACTCTTAAAAAAGAAGAGAGTTTTACTGATTTGTTAATCCCGTAGTTGTGGTGTAGGGAGTATGCACCTGCTCTTCAGTGCTCCCCACTGAGGTTCTACTCTGCTTTTCCATGCTTGAACAGTACCTGGCAATCCAGTCCTGTCCCTGCTCATTTCCCCTTTCCACTTCCACATTTTGATGGAGATCCTGATCCATTCATGCAGGAAGAATCTCACTTGTCTGCCTCGGCAGCAGCACAGAATAAACGCCTCTGGATTTCTCAGGAAGGCTGTTCCCATCTCAGAGTGCCCAGCTGACAGCACAGCTCGGGATGAAGAGCTGAAGACTCGCTCGTGTCACATTTATTCGTGCCTTGTGAAGTCTTCCATCATCTCAGCTGCTGCCTCTGAGCCTTTTCCCTTCAACAATTGGAACTTGAGACCTCTGACCTTTGTTTTCTCAACGCTTTTAGCACCTCCCGATGGCTGCGGGGCAGTGAATGCCAGCACGCTGCAGAAATTATCACTTCCAATACAAGTTAAACACGTTTTGGCTCTGTAGCTAAATTTTCACATAGGCTTGGGAGAAACTTGTTCTCCTCCTGATCATTCTCCTTAGATTAAATACTCCAGCCATAAAGCATGCACAGAAGGGCAGCAATCAAAAGCCTTTCCATAGCTGAGTTGTACAGGGAGATAGTTCTGAAATGTTCGGGGGTAAATTGATGGCTCTGTCCTCCGGTCAGGCCGTGTGATCTGCAGGATCCAGGAGAGGCAGAAGGGAAGGTGTTTGATGGCGTGGAGTGGGGGGTGTCATGATTCTGTAATTGTGGCTGCACTTCCAAGGCAATAAAGTTACAGACACGGCCAGGTCATTAAGAACAGCAACAGCCTCTTGTTAGACCATTTGACA